TTTTTGATAACAATAGTAATTGAAAAAAAAAACTACATCACACTAATTAATAGTATTACTATACATGAACATAATTAAAAAAAGCGATAAAAAAATAAATGCACTTTCATGCAGTGAATTAGAGAGTACGTGTATAACAATTTAGACATTCTCTAAATTAATTAAAGACATGAGTTTATTTGTGAATTATAAATAGTGTATTCGAAAGTTAAATTTTTTAGGAAGAATAGTCAAATAGACCCTTGTACAATTGCAAAATGGTAACGTACACCCATGTACTACTAAAAGTATCACATAGGCTCATATATAGTAACGTACACCCATGTACAATCAATTGAGTCCAAAAAGCTAAAAGTGACCTTTGATAGCAGGTCATCCCTTTCTTTCTCTCTCCTATTTTATTTTTGATTTTATTTCACTTTCAAAGTAGACCACGTGTGTATTCCTTCTCTACCAAACTTGGTTGTAGCCCAAATTTTGGGATAAAAAATGGACGACATGGGGATTCAAACCCTGAGATGCCGAGTGAAATGCAACGAACCGAGTTACCAACCGGACAACATGCTCACTTTGGCTAAATTTACTTCGGAAGTTTTATGTATAATTGGAATTGTGTGTATGCACTATTATTAATAAATGTAAATAGATTTGTAATCATAATAGTAACTAAAAGTATTTGTATTGATGTTATTATATTATACTAATAAACCATAGAGTATTTGTGAAAGATACAAAACATCTTTCAATATTGTTTATATTTTAATATATAAATATTATTTTGACATATCAATCAATTCTAAACGCATTTTTTTATCCATTTTTTTATATTGCTATAAGAATTATTATATTTTGAATGAGGGTATTTTTTTATTGTATAAATTTAATCTAATATGTATGTAACTATATTTTATGTGTATTTTTTCACTATATACTGATCATTTTTTTTGCCGGGTTGACCCATGACCCACTAAAAATTAAAAACAAAAAATCTTAAAAAATAAAACTATATTATTGTGCAATAAAATAGTTAAAAACACATAATAATATAAAAATATATTGAGCCTTTCCCGTAGCCTCTGCCACCTACGATTAGTAAACAATGTCATGCTGTTTGAAAACAACCATTTTCTCTCTGAAAATGTCATTAAGATGGATTGTATTCTTTGAAATTGTCAAATGTTTCTCTAAAATTGACATTAATATGGAATCACTAACACATTTTGACATTTATTTTTTGGTGGTGGGAAATTATGTAGGCGGGAGGTTGTTGAGGCGGCAACAGAAGCATGCATATTTGTTTTTACATGTTTTTACGTTTGTTATTTTTTTATTTTAATTTTAATTTTTTTAGTTTTATGTTCGTTTCGTCACGCTAAAATTGTCTCATCTTTGCTTTTTGGTATGTTCCACTATGATTGTCTCATACTCCCTCTATCCCTAAATAAACTTCCAACTTTCCTTTTCCGTCCGTCCCAATTAAAACTTTTACATTCTTTTTTTGGCAAAGAATTTGTGGTTCACAGCAATTCTTACACATTTCTCTCTCATCTGCACAACTTTCCACCACGCAATACCCACTATCTTAAACTGTGTGCCAAACCGACGGAGGGAGTACTAAATTTGATAATGTTTATGTGGTTCTAAATTATTCTTACTTTGTTCTTAAATTATTAATTCAATATCAATCATAACAACCGACTTTTCTTAATAATCACACCGCCTTCTCATATCACTTACTTTGGTATTTTTTGACGCAAAAAAGTGATTAATGTATAGTGGAAAAATAAAAATAAAATATAGTTACATATATATTAGATTAATTTTATATAGCCAAAAAATACCCTCATTCAAAATCTAATAATTCTTGTAGGAATAAATAAAAAAAATTGTTGAGAAAATGCGTTTAGAATTGAATGGACGATATGTGAAAATAATATTTATATATTAAAATATAACCAATATTGAAAGATGTTTTGTATCTTTCACAAATACTCTATAGTTTATTAGTATAATATAATAACATCAACAAATACTTTTAGTTACTATTATGATTACAAAACTATTTACATTTATTTAATAATAGTGCATACACACAATTCCAATTATACATTAACATTCCGAAGTAGTTTAGCCAAAGTTTGGTAACCCGTTCGTTGCATTTCACTTTGCGTCCAGGGTTCGATTCCCCTTGTCGTCCAAATTTTTATCAAAAATTTGGGCTACAGCCAAGTTTGGTAGAGAAGGAATGCACATGGTCTACTTTGAAAGTGAAATAAAACCAAAAATAAAATAGGAGAGAGAAAGAAAGGGATGACCTGCTATTAAAGGCCACTTTTAACTTTTTGGACTCAATTGATTGTTTTTTGAGAGTATATGAACCTATGTGATGCTTTTAGTAGTACGTGGGTGTAAGTGACCATTTTGCAATTGTACAATGGTCTGTTTGTAAACATCGTGTACACTAATTCATTTTCTTTTTTACTAAAAGACATTTTTTGATAGTAAATAATTGATACTATACTACTTTTTTTAGACAAAGATATTTGTGCTATAAAGTTTCACATTTCTGGCTATGTCGTTTAAAGTATAGTTTGGATTAATATATATTTATTCAATATAAAAAATTGTGTGATAACAAGCACACATAACAAATAATATATTATTGTCATGCAACAACAAACAAAACGTAAATTAGTATTTAAAATATCAACATATTATTATTGTGGTAATAGACTCAAGTGTATGTACATATGTTTCACTTAATTAAACCATGAATATTAAATGTGAATATCTTGTAAATCATAATAAATCAATTATCAAACTATTTTTTTTAAATTAAAAATTAGGAAATAAACAAAATACTATACTTAATGATTAATAAATAAAATAGCAAGTTTTAAGAAGTTCTTTTTGTTCAGTTCGGTTCGGTTTTGAGACGGGAAAACCAAAACCGAAACTAAACAGGTACGATTCGGTTCAGTTTTTTGAGTTCGATTTTGGTTTTCTAGCAGTTCGGTTGTTTTGGTTGCGGGTCGTTTTTTTTTCGATTCGTTCTCGATTTTCGGTTTCACCGACCCACCCCTAGCCGATCAACAACTCAAAGTGCTGATTTTGCTGAATTATAAAAAAAATTTAAAATGCTTTGTCTATTTTATTAAAAAAAACAAAAAACAATTATGAAAATAGATAAAATTGTATTGCCATAAAGGTCAAATAGACTCTTCTAGTATTTACAATTCATCACTTAAGCCCTTCTACAAAAAACATTAGATAAGTACGCTTAGTTTTTAAATACAATCAATCAAATCATTTTAACCCATTATGACATGTTTCTTTTTTAATTAGGACTATTGATAAATCTTATAAGAATTAATATAAATTTGAAAAGTAATAAAATAATAATAACAATATCAAAATGTTAAAATAAATTTGAAAAATGCATAAACGTAGAAATAGATAAATAATGTAAAAATGTTAAAATAAATATAAAAATCAAATAACTTAAAAAAGAAGTGAAAATGTAAAAAAAATATAGAATGTAAAAACCTATTCAATACATGTAGAATATACAAATATTTTAAAAAATCAAAAATATTGACTATGACATTATGAAAATTTTCACATTTTTTGTCTATATTTCTTCAAATTTAACAATTTTCAGAATTCTTTAATATAAAAAATCAGAGATAGCTGTTCAAAATGACTTGATTGATTGTACTTAAAAATAAACATACTTATATGATGTTTTTAGTGGAATGGTCTAAACAATGGATTGGATATAATAGAACGACTTATTTGACTCTTTTCTGAACCATCTTCTATAGTAGTTTCAGCCAATTTAAATTGAAAAGTAATTTTAACCTTACTTATTTTATTATTAGAAAACTCAGCACACGAAATCAAAAGTTACTAGTTTGATGAAAAGTTGATTAATATGACTGATAAGTTGAAAACATGATCATCAAACGAACTCTTAAATTATCATTTAATCATTAAATATTAGAAAACACACATCTAACAACGTCACAATATCATCAATATTATTATTATACTCCTTATTATATACTCATCAAAATTATATACTCATCAAAATTATTTTTCATACTCAAATGATGTTTTCTTTTGGACTGAAATTTGCTGATCTGATCTGGTTTGGTATGATAATGTTTGATCTCTGTGTATTTTATAATTATGGAAGTATCGTCAATATGAACTGAGTATTTGATTATGGTGTGAATTATATGGAGTAGATAGTACAGAGTAATTGTCTAAACTATCGAACGTGAATTTCCTTAATTCGGGGCTATGTTGCACGGATACGGATATGCCGATACGTCGATACACGAATACGAGTACGGCGATGCGGCAATTTAAAAAATTATAGGATACGGGTACAGGGGTAAATTTATAAATAATAAAAATATAGAGTATAATTTGCAAATATATATAATTCAGGAGTTCATAAATAAAACAATAATAACAATAGTACAAAAAACTACTCCGTATTATAATAAGATTTCAAAGATTAGGCTAAAGAAACTAGAGTACTGATATTTTGATTTAAATTCAAACAACATTTTTTTTTGTTCTCTATTTACATTTACATCTAAATCTTGTTTCAATTAAAGCTCATCAAGCGATAAAATGAAAAATTATAGTATTCCGTTATTTTCCATACTCCCGAAATCATCTTTATCAATGTTCCACATCTTGTGGGCGCTTGGATGACTACTAAATTTTCGTCATGTCGTGTATGAAATGAGGGTTACAGGGTCAGATACGCATATCGGTTCATGGATACGGGTATCGGAAGTATCGATATTTTTAAAATTAAGCCCGATACATTTATTAAATTACGGATACGGACCCAATACGTACATGACGCGTATCAGTGAGTATCGGATACGGATACGTATCAGATACGCGGATATAATATCGGGATGAAGTACCGGTGCAACATAGATTGGGGACAGAGTTAATAGCACCATACGTAGTATTTCCCTATGTGGGTTCTGATTGGTAGAGACAGCTCATTAATCCCTTTTCCCTAGCCAAGTACTCCGTATAAAAATACTGTATTCTGATTTCTGGACTTGATCATCATCCCAAAGTTCCCACGCAACCCACCCACGCCCCAAGTTCAGCAGTTTTAGCGCGTGTGCGCGTGAGCACAAAGCAAAACATATAATCGAAACAAGTCAAAGATTCGGGATTGAGGAGTAGTTCGGAGCTTCACATGGCTTACGTCGAGAGAGGTAAAAATCTCATCTATCTTTCCAGAGCGTTCTGTTTATTTTTTTTAACTTTTGCAACATCGTGATTGCGTTTTTTTCGTAATATATTTCCTATTGTTACTTGTTAGGTGGAGCAGATGAAATTGATGATTCCTTATTTCCATTTGTGCATTATCTTGAATAGTACTGGAATCGATTTGAATTTCTTTCTTAAATTTCAGATTTTAAAATCTGCCATTTGTTTCTGTTAGGGTAATCACAGAATTGATATTGATTTATTTTGTTGTGATTCTTACTGGCAACAAACGAAAATTTCGAGGATTCTCTCACTACATTATGGGCAGATCTTCATACATCCAAATGGTTTTACTTTTTTATTTGATTCGATATGGTATCATCACCCTATGAATCACATGAGCATTTTCTTGACCTTCATTTTAGCTTTGCATCGCCACACATGCAAATTTCTTGATAGTTTAGTATTTATTTTCGTAATCTGGAATTACCTTTTAGGATATGGTTAGTAATCCTATGAATCGCAATGATACTTTACTGATTTTTCATTTTGGCTTTGATTCAATATGATTTTTCATCTTGTTAATTTCTAGACAGTTCAAGTTTTTTTGCGAGCACCTGGATTTACCTTTTAAGGCGTTGTGTAACAAACTGAAAGGAAATGATTAGCTTAATATAGAGTACAGAGTCGAAATGAGAGAGCATACGGCGTACCAGAAAGTTTCAACTACTTCTAGACACATCTTCATTGAGTTTGAAGGAAGAAAATATAATTTTATTAACTTGAAGATTTTAAATACATCCTCTGTGGCACAGTGAGATTCGAGCGATTTGTACATGAGTTAATTACCAAGAATTCATCCATTCCGTAGCTAGTAAGCTGAATTCCCGAAGAACCAGTGTACAGTGTACCTCTCTGTTTCTGCAGTGTAATGGCCAAAAATTACAAACCAGCCTACACATCGCAGAGGATCAAAGATATATCACATTCCAACTATTGCAAATTTAATTCTAGCATACTGATACGGGCGTATCTCATGATAGAACGGATCAAAAGGACCGTGGAGATATATTTTGCCCATCTCGGAGGGACTTCCTACCACTACTGTTATTATTATTATTACTATTATTATACGTAGTATTTATTTATTACTATTACTATTTGTTACCTTTATTGGTATTAGTACCAGTTTCCCATTATTATTAGTGGTAGTTCTTTTCTATTAGCCTGGGTATTCACTCTTAGTTAATAGTCAGTGTAAAAGGTTTAGGATTTCTCTGAAACCCTCCCACTAGGACTATTGGAGCTAGCATGGATATAGGTGCCCTCTTCATTAATGATATCATCAATAACTTTGGAGTCAATTCCTTGGAGTCTTGAATTGGTTTGGTGCCACTCTGTCTTTACTAGGCCAGCGATGTTCTTTATTTTTATTTCTTCTAATCCTCTTCTTCTCCCAAGCACACACTGATATTTGTAATAGTTTGGTATCAATGCCACTTCTTTCCTGTTCAGTTTGTTTCTTTTCTATCCATAAATTATTGTAAATCAAAAGTACTGGAAAGTTCAAACATGCGCAACATATATAGAAAATAAAAAACGAAATTGTCATGAGTTTATTGAGCTTTTCAGTACTCAAATTGGCATGAACACATTCATAATTCTTTACTTAGTCTGACTAGGAACAAATTGGTGGAACTTGCCGAGATTAAAATATCCTAATTGACTGTGGTTAAGAAGTGGTAAAACATTAGCAATTATAATTGATCAAGCCATCAAGCGAAGTAGCAGTAAAGTTGCTGTGGTTGCAGGCCAATATCAATTATTTTTCCTATCCATCGGCCTCAAATTGTAACAGAGCTTGAAGCAAAGTCAAGCAAATATTTACTTGCAAAATGTACTTCTTGACTAAAGGGTTCCCAATGCTCAAGTTTATATTAGGTTAAAGATTATGTGAAATAGGGAATAAAGTGTGGTTCTAATAGTAGAGGAAATCAGAAAGTAGGATTATTTGATACTAGATAGATGTGCAGGTGACTCTTCTTTGTATGTGTTACATGCTCAATAATCAGTAGATTAGTCATTTATAATAAGGTAATTGCATTTGTTTTTTGCAGGTGTTGTCAAACCAAAGCGATCAATATGGCGTTTGAAAACAATCACTGATTTCTTTAGGGCAATCGTCAACTTTATTCGCATGTTTATTGTTACTATGTTTTCGGTAATGCTGATATTCTTGTGGTTATGTTTCAATATCTCATTCGCTTTCAGCATCTCCTATATTTCTCTTTTGTATGCCTTGCAGATGGAAAAAACTGATGATTATAAGAAGGGGACTGGATCTAGCAAGAAGTGGGACGGTGGTGGCCCTGGAGGTCCCGGCCCATATGGATCTGGTCCACGTGGGGGACCGCCTCGTGGATTAGATAACGTCAGAGGCATTGACCACAGTAAGTCCTTTGGCACTGAGATTCATTTATTTAGTTGTAATTTATATTTGTGAAAATGGTATTTAAGTTTCTTTGTTCGGAACATTACAGGTTCCCTCCCTGCCTGCGGCTCCTGCTGTGGTGGTTAAGCTCTAGGGACTAGGGAGATACAAAACATGGAGTGCATACCCTTGAAAACGACAAAAGCATTTCATTGTATATGTAAAACATATATTTCAAACAAACGTGTGCTGTTGTGAATACTTGAAGTCCTTATTTATCACATTTCTTACAAATACCGATGTCATTGATTTGGGCATTGCTGAATGTATTCTAATTTCTACCTCTCATTGGCTTTAGACTTTAGAGTGTCAGTTAACTGTTTCCTTGTTTGAGTAGAGTAGGGCTTCTTCCATTTTTGTGCCTCCATGATTCAGAATCATTTGGCCACCCATCTCAGAGTTTACGAGTCTTGACTCTGACTATTGAGTCTTATTTGGATTCAATTTGTTATGACTCATTACGGATTTACGGATTTCTCGTAGCGGTACAATACAACACAGCTATAAGCCTATAAGAGCCCTGAAATTTGAGTGCACAACCATAAGAGCCCTGCTAGTCAATGTGATTTCGATCAAAATTGATCGAGATCGCAGAAATCATTCAAATTGTGGTTGGCATGATTGAGTTAGCTACATTTATGGAAAACTTTGTGAAACAACAATTAAAAAAAATGTAAAATTTTGGAACACGGTTCTATATTTTCCCTCTTAATTTGGAGCAATTTACTGCTATATTTTCACAAGTATGAAAATGTATTGTCATAATCCATTTTTTTTCAAACGTCACATTAATTATTCATATTTGGGAAATACAACAAATTTTTTCTATTTTGGAATTTCAAATGGCTTTATTCATATTTAGGTAAATTTCTTCAATATAGAAATTTGCAATTGATTAGGTGAATATATGCTATTGTATTTTTATAATCACTTTTTAGTTTAGAAGAGCTATTTTTATATTAATATCGAGAAAACATATACGGCAATATCAAAACAGTTATTACAGATCTGATTGTAAGTCCTAGAAATAGACGTAGAGCCAATCATCTTATTCAAAACAATCTAAGCCGCTAGACACGAAACAAACAATTTTAAGTCTAAAACAACCAGAATTGAAATATTTTCTATCAAAAGTACTCTAAAAATCTAAATATTCATATCAAACATACTCGAACTAAAACAAAAATATTTTCTCGACACGGAGGTGATTTCGGAGGAGGACAAACTATTGTTGCAAAATGGGTGAATATTTTTAAAATCAATTAAAAGCCCATTTGGTAAGATAATTTGGGATGAATTTTGAACTCATAATTTTATAAAGGTTAAAGGGTCAAATAGGCCCTCGAACTAACATAAAAAGTGCAATTCACCCCTTATATATGAGGTTCCGTCCGGCCGTCGTCAATTGAGGCGGTTCCCGGTGGAATTTTTTGATGATTTTTTTGAGCATCTTCTTCATTTCGTCTAGTTTACTCATACCAAATTTCAGCTAAAAATTCAATCGGGAATGCATTCAAATGAATTTTTGAAGATGGCTGCGCAGTTAAACATCGCAGTACATTTCAGAAAATCATTTGACTGTCTTTCCGGTTGAATTTTTATCTGAAATTTGGTATGAGTAAGCTAGACTTAATGAAGAAGATGCTAAAAAAATCATCAAAAATTCCACTGGGAACCGCCCCAATTGGCAACGGCCGGACAAAGCCTCCTATATAAGGGGTGAATTAGACTTTTTAAGTTAGTTCGAGGGCTTATTTGACACTTTAGCCTTTTATAAATTAATTGAAATGACTAAAATTTGGTATAATGTGTTTGGTTCAAATGTCTATAGAAATGAAGTTTAATTCGAGTATAAATGAAATTTGATTTTAGGGAGTATAAGTTTATCTAGTTCTAATGTTAATATAACAACAAATCGAGTCTTAACCTCAAAATATTATAGTTTTAATGGTAATGAGTTTGATTAATTGTAAGTGATCCCAAATGTGAGTAAAGTAAAAAATATCAAATTGTAGTGAACAATATTTTACTATTCACTACAATAGGTTTGAACACGTTATTCAAGGATGCAATAATAGAGGTAATGAATAATGTAGAAAAATAAGAAAGAATGTAAAAAGTATGAAAATAAGATAAAATGTAGAAAAAATAAAGGTAATTGAGTATGTTTAAAGAGAAAACTTACCAATATAAATGTGTCAAACTTTTAAACACATTAAAATATTCAAATATTAAAATATGAACTAGTACATGAACAATTCAAATATTCGAATAGATAAAAATAGAGGAAATAAAAGTGATTTGTTACGAGCAAGGAATGAGTGAAATAAAATGAAATAACTCCCAATAAGTAGAGAAAAAAAAGCAAAGTTTAAAGACTGAAAATATCGCACAAAAAAAGTAGAGTAACAAATCTCTATTGTTTTTGAAGTGGTAAAAAAGAAATCTTGACCGGTTCCAAAAGTGCTTTTACTGTGAGTCGTCAGCTTCTCTTTTTTCTCATTTCAACGCAGTTAGCTCCATAGTTTCTTCTAAACGTCTTTTTTGAACTATTTTACTTACATCAAACAGTTCATCTATTTCTGAGATCCAGGAACTGAAACAGAATTACCATCTCAATGGCAGTTCCTATAGAAGAGGCCATTGCTGCTCTCTCCACATTCTCATTAGAGGTAATTGAATGATATTTTTTTTTTTAATGAAAACTGCGAGTCCAAATTAAATACTCCGTATTTTGTATTATTTCTTCTTTTTATCCCGTTCCTCACTTTATTTTTGACGCGAGTCTGTTGCTAGGATGATCAATCAGAGGTTCAAGGACCAGGGCTTTGGGTTTCAGTTGAAGGTGGTGCTACCAGCAGCCCAGTTGGTACGTAGCAATAGTGTTTTTGTCAGTTTCCTTTCACATGTTTATTATTACTACCTCCCTCTCAGGTTCCCATAGCAAAACGACACAATTATTTAGACAATAATCAAATAAGGTAATTCAAGTATATAGTTTGAGAAATAATTTTGATGGATATATAATACTACGTATAATGTAGTCATTGATGAAATCTGTGATGTTATAAATGTATTATTTTTAATTTTTCATGATTAAATTGTCATTTTAGAGTGCTATATATTTCCTAAAATAGAAATGAGAATCTTTATATGGGACGTCCAAAAAAGGAGAGCGAGAACCTTCAAATGGGACGGAGGGAGTATTATACGAAGTATTATGATTGTTAATGTTATTATTATTTTTATTATATACTCGTATATCAGTATATGTTTGTGCTTTTAAAATAATTTCTGTAAGTAGTTGTAAGTTTCACAATTCATACATAACTTAGTTTGATATCATCCAATGTCAAATGTAGAGTACAGTGACGTGTCTGCTTATAGACTGTCTCTGTTTGAAGACACTAAAGCTATTAATCAGCTGGTACGTGCTTCTTTCTTCCTATGACATGCCATTGGTATACAGATTTCACATACTTGGACACTGTACACACTGACAGAGTATATAATGAATGTAGCCATCACATTTATTTTAACTAACTGCAGTTTTTTAGTTTTTCTTTTGCTGATACTAGTACTCAAATTACATGCAGGATGCACTTATTCAAGAAGGAAAGGAAATCACATCTGTGCTCTATACATATAGGAGCTGTGTAAAAGCTCTTCCTCAGGTTGGTTACAAGGCATTATCCTTTCAACTCCATATGAAATCTTATGAAAGTAGCATTAGTACAATCACTTAACATTAGTTGGTTCTCAGTGCTGGTTTGGTATAAATGACGGCAATGTATGTCAATCAAGCACGTGTAGTAAAAATCAGCCTAATCGTACGCCTAGGAGCCTGCTATTCCTAAAACACTTATGCTACATACCAATTAGGCTGCTGCACCTCCTTCAACTGAAACCCAAAGCACCGATATTATCAGCTTGTCCTAATGTTCTAGGGTGCATATGGTTGTACACTATTAAAGTTATTTAAGAACCAGTACTGATTTGCTTTAAGTTTGTGCACCTGAATATGAGGACCAACTTAGTTCATTATGTCGACAATAAAGATGATTGGAATGCTCTCACAGGCAAAACCCGCTGAAATTTGTGTGGGGAGTCCATGAAATATGTCGCTATTTCCTTTATAAGTAATCACACACACATGTTCAAGTGCTATCTTATTCATCTGCATTTTCATTTTAGCAACTTGGTAACATTGCATCATGACTTCCACACTTGGTAGAAGTCCTTGGGCCTAAAGATGCTGATATCAGGCATTGAAAAGGCTTAATTCATATTCGGATCCTTATTATATTTATTTCTTCTCTATCTGTGTCCATCTTTATTTCTTGCAATTCTTTCGCTTTTACCATTAACACCTTTGGCTCTTTTGCAGCTTCCAGATTCTATGAAGCAAAGCCAGGCCGACTTGTATTTAGAAACTTATCAAGTTTTAGATCTGGAAATGAGCCGTTTGCGTGAAATTCAGCGATGGCAGGCATCAACAGCATCTAAGGCATGAGCATATTCACATGCATCTTGACCAGTGTTCTAATAATACTAGGCACTAGTCGGGCAGTGGCTTTCCGTATTTAACTAATATCTATTTTAATTATAAAAAAATTGTATTTTTAGTATTGAAAATAGCTCATATACATCCTCGATGTTATATTTTTTGCTGTAAAATAGTAAATTGTGATAGAAATATAGATAAATACAAATAAAATGAAAATTTTGTGTTCTCTAATATTGAACTCTTATGGGTGTTATCTGAGATATTGTGCTTGACACATTTATTACAGTTGGCTGCTGACATGCAACGTTTTTCAAGGCCTGAGAGACGAATAAATGGACCCACTATAACTCATTTATGGTGCTTTCCTCCTCCTAGTCTCTTTCTATTTTTCCTCTTATCTAGTAATCACATCTGAAAATAGTAGTTGGATACCCAGCTTAAGATGCTAAGAGCAATCTAAATGGTTTATATAAGTTAATTCTGTGTGCATTTCAAGCACCATTGAATGTCTTTATTGGTCGAAATAATATACTTTTTGTGAATGTACTCACAGCTTGGAGGTCTTCGTTGAGATGAGATCATTGTAGCTCAGTAGCTCAATATTGCAATTGTTAATAATTAAGTATTGATATACGATCATAGGTAACCAGAGTTTTGGAAGGAGCCCAGGAAACCCATATCCACTGGCCGGAAAACACTCCTCTCGATTTACGAAACATATTTTATCACTCTTATACAATTGTTTAAGAATGTATCCTCTGGATTCACATATCTCATCCTTACCCCACACACACAGAGACAAGGAGTAAGAAAGTATCTCTGTTACAGGTTATAACCTTTCAAATTGCCTATCTTTTATAGAATTTTATCAACATCTATACAAAAGTTGGGAGTAAATTTGGAGGGTGTTTGTTTCAGCCCAGTAGAACTGAGTTTGCCTCTTTCAGGCCGTAGAAATTTGAAGAATCAGTTTTCTGGGTGTTTTTTGAAATTCCTAAAAGTGATTCCGAGGCTCTTAAGTGATTAATCTCAGAAGCAAGTCAGTACATAAACTTTAAAACAGATCCAAATTATCACTTTTACTCCCATGTCTCCCATATTGCAGGTTCTACTTTCCTTTTAGTCCATTCTAGAATAATGTTATCTTCCTATTTTTTTTTTAATTCCCGAAGAGAACCACTCATGGTGGGGAAAGTTCCCGGGAACACTTCCCGGATTTATTAAAGGTACAAGGGAGAGTTTGAAAGTATTACAGAAAGAGGAAAAAACATTAGCAATCAATTATTTTTGTATGTATCCCAACAGAAGCTGAGACGAACCTAAGTTATCCTCCTAATAAAAATGCCTAATTTTAAAATTGTACCTGTCTTAATTTCAACTTGCTTTCAACTGTTTTGTTGGTGAGTTGCTTAAACTGTTTTCAACCTTTTGAACTTCTTAATTCAACTTTTTCCCCTTTCTCCAAAAAGGTGCAATTGTAATCCGATCAACTTTAACCTTTATTTCATTACAAAACCTGTCAAACCAATATGCATTTGGGGGGGTATTTGTTTTGAAATCACATCACAAGAACTTTGCCAAGCTTTTCCTTTTACTTCTCTTTTACATACGGAGTATTTAATATTACAGTGGCAATGCAAAACACTCTTGAACTAACCAATTCTTCCCACAACATTTTTTTTTTCTGTTTCTTAGATTCTGAATTTGAATCATCTTTTTGGAATGACCTATTCTTATTCATTCATGTTCTACAATGTTGATGCGAAGATGATTCTGAATTACTTACAGGTCCATGTTGAAACTTCTTGATATTCTTATCCAACTTGATCATCTTAAAAACGCAAAAGCAAGCATACCAAATGACTTTTCTTGGTATAAGAGGTAAGGTTATCATATGATAATAATTAATATTACTACTACTATTATTAAATTCAATCTTCAGAGATAGTTGATCTTTTGCTATCTTTATTCAACCTTCAGCCAAAGTTGATCTTTTGATATGCTTTGCTCTCTGCATTTGTAATAACTGGAGGGACAGGGTTTTGTGCATTGCACCTTGGTTGATAAAAAAGTTACTCTTTGTGTCTTATGTGAATAATGCCATAACGCGCAAATGCTTCTTAATAGTAAAGTCAAGACACCAATTACATTAAGATGTGGATTCCTGTTGAGTGCATTGGGTACTCTCAGTCTCTCACCAACAATGTGACACAGTATTGTCAGAGCTTAGCCTCTTATCAAGTGTTTTCCTTCCCTGTTTTAGCTTTTGCAGACTGTATTTTCTCAGGAAGTGCAATTAGCGCGCATTATCTTCCAAGTGATGGTGAGTTGAATTGTCATAAACTTTCCTCTTCTTGATTACATCCATCTTTTCAGGACATTTACTCAAGTCAGCGTGCAATGGCAAGATACTGATTCAATGAGGGAAGAGTTGGACGATTTACAGGTCTGTATGACTATTCACTGCTTGCGGTGCACTATTTTATCAATTACCCTTTGGACACTGACCATAATATTGTTGTATTGGATATACTTGCAGATCTTCTTGAGTACAAGGTGGACTATTCTTATGAACTTGCATGTTGAGATGTTCCGTGTAAACAAGTATCCTTAGTATGACTTTTTTTATATCTTAGGTAAAGTTTTAATGATAATAGGGAACATTTTGTCAAATCTGATGCATAAAGCTATTTTATTAGAGTATGCACGAAGTTCAATTCCCAAATGTTTATTTTCCTCTTTGAGCGCCTTAATTTCTTACAGTGTTGAAGACATTCTGCAAATTCTCATAGTTTTCATAGTTGAGTCATTGGAATTGAATTTCGCCCTTTTATTTCCGGAAAAGCACATTCTTCTTCGTGTTCTTCCTGTGCTTGTTGTCTTAGCATCATCATCGGAAAAAGACAGTGAGTCGTTGTACAAAAGAGTGAAAATCAACAGATTGATTAATATATTTAAGGTATGTACTTGATTCTATTACCAATATCAAGAAAAAATACTGAAGGCATAAAACAGACTATGGTGCTCTGCAGTTTAAGAAAACATGTAACTGCTTGTTGGGATAAAATCTTTTTTGGGGATATGAGCCAGCTACACAATCAAACTGGAAGACGCTTTAAATACATACTAGAGCTTTGCAAAATCTACTTTTTGCCTTGAAATTTATGGTTACAGTTGTTAACGTGGTGGCTTGTATGTGAGTTTTTGTTGATCTAGACATTGTTGACTTCTCCTTAACCTACTGCTCCATATTTTAGCTGGCATGCAATACAAGAATATAGCTTAAAAGAAAATAAAGAAAAACAAGAAGTATATGGGATGCTGATGAAGGATGGCTTGAGATGAGGGTGCATTCGGCATCGTGGCAATTTTTTTGTTTGTTTATCCTTCAATCTATTTTTATCTTTTCTTAATAAAGTAGTATGTGAATATTAAATCCTTTGGTGCCACCCATGTGGGTGAAGTCCCTTGTACAACTTATTTGTGTAAAATCTACATATATGCGTTTGTTTTTGCGGTAGTGTGTTTGTGTGTGTGACGTCTGTCTTTGGTGAAAAGGGTTAATGGATAGAAAAAATGTGTAATAAAGTTATGTTATTCAACAATCTTTGCGCTTGCCAGCTAAAATGTAATTAGGTGGTTAATTAGGAGCCAACTCACCAGTCAATATCAACAAAAAGTTACATATAAGTACCGATGTTGATAACATGAAGTCTACATGAAAATGTATCAATTATTTTATTTTATTCTATTGTAATTTATTTAAAATTTAAAATTTGGTTTTGCAATTGAAGCTTTTTTTTGTTCAATGATGTAATTGCTCTTTTACAATAGTACAATGAAATACCACTATACCTGTTTCTTCTTGTTTTTATTTTCTATATATAAACCTAAGCATGATGTTCATGTTTGGGAAACATCTAGTCAATGCCTCGGTTAACTCTTTTCTGTCATGCAGAATGATCATGTTATCCCTGCCTTCCCAGATTTGCATCTGTCTCCAGCAGCAATTTTAAAGGAGCTGTCGACATACTTCCCAAAGTTCTCTGCCCAAGCTCGTCTTCTCACCCTTCCTGCAACTCATGAGTTGCCTCATCGAGAGTCACAAGAATATCCTTTTACGTTGCTATTGTGTACATCTTTGTTTATTTTAGTTAATCACCAATCTGCACTTAGAGAGAGCTTTTCTTCTTCAAGTGTCACGTTAAGGATGTTTTTACTAGTCTATTTAAGTCTAGTCTGGTCTGGTCTAGGACTGAAATCAGTCAAAGTAAAAACATTTAATTCCTTTCAACAAAGTTGGCTAATCAATTCCATACATAGATTTTATTTCGGCTATTAAAAGGATTTTAATGGAGGACAGAGAGATAAAAGAGAGGTGGAGGTCATACTTTGATACATTGTTCAACGGGAACAAAGTGCAAGATATCGGTGATTTGACCATATCAGATTGTATGGTAAATCGTGATTTTGTGAGAAGGATCCAACCAACGGAAGTTAAAGAGGCTTTGAGGAAGATGGGGCGGAAGAAAGCAGTGGGTCCAGATGGCATACCGATCGAGACTTGGAGAAGTTTGGGAGAGAGAGGCATCGGGTGGTTAACAAATTTCTTCAACAAGATTTGGAGAAACAACAAGATGCCAACAAGTTGGAGAAAGAGTACTCTTATTCCCTTATTTAAGAATAAAGGTGATGTACAAGAATGTGCCAACTATCGAGGGATTAATCTTATGAGTCATACAATGAAACTTTGAGAGCGAGTGATTGAGCAAAGACTTCGAAGAATGGTGAAAATTTCAGAGAATCAATTCGGTTTTATGCCTGGTCGCTCAATAACTGAGGCTATTCACCTTCTTCGGCAACTTATAAAGAAGTATAGAGACGCTCACAAGGATTTGCGTTTAGTGTTCATTGACTTAGAAAAGGCATATGATAGGGTACCTCGAGAGGTTCTTTGATGGGCCTTAACTAGAAAAGGCATTTCACGCAAGTATATCAGCATCATCATGGATATGTATGAGGATTGTACTACAAGTGTCCGTACTAGTGTACGGAGGACTGCGGAGTTCCCTATTACTATCGGAGTGCACCAAGGATCGGCTATGAGCCCTTTTTAATTTGCGATACTCATGGATAAACTTACAAAGTCAATTCAAGACGATATACCGTGTTGCATGATATTTGCCGACGATATTGTATTGATTGATGAGACGCAATCAGGGGTTAAAGCAAAGTTGGAAGTATGGCGACAAACATTGGAGAACAAGGGTTCCAGACTAAGTAGGAACAAGACAGAGTACATGGAGTGCAAGTTTGGTGGAGGTAGAAGTAGTGGTAATAGCGGAATTACTTTAGATGGTAAGGAGATACCTGTCAGCGATATGTTCCGTTACTTGGGCTCCATAATTCAGAAGGATGATGAGTTAGATGGAGATGTATCCCATAGAATCAGAACAGGGTGGATGAAGTGGAAGATGCTCAGGATTTCTATGCGATCAAGGTATGCCGACTAGACTGAAGGGTAAATTTTATAAGACAACAATTAGGCCTGCATTACTGTATGGCACGGAGTGTTGGGCGGTGAAAAAATGTCACATTCAAAAGATGAGTGTGGCAGAGATGCACATGATGCGGCGTTGGATGTGTGGGCATACTAGAAAGGACCGCGTGAGGAATGAGACAATCTGACAAAGGGTGGAAGTAGCACCTATTGAAGATAAGATGCGGGAGTCACGGCTACGATGGTTTGGTCATGTGCATAGAAGTCCGAGTGATGCACCTGTCAGACGAGTTGAGATGTGTGGAAAAGAGGTCAGGGAAGAGAGGGGGAGGAAGGCCCAAACAGACGTGGGTTAGGGGAGTCAGAAGTGATATGCTTCTTCTTGGATTGGATGAGGGTGTGGCTTTGGAGAGAGCAAAATGGAGGGCGGGTATTCGTGTGGAGGAGTGATCTTGTATCATCTTTCCCCCCCTTTTTTTTCTTTTTTATTCTTTTTTTTATATATGTTTTTATCCTTATATATAAATATTACTTTATCCTTTTTATTTTATCTTTTATATGTATATTCATCTCTTTTATATTATCTTTTTTTATAATAGCTTATCTTTTTTATCTTTATTTTCTTTCTTTTCCTTTTGGTGATATCATGTATCGATTCATGTTAGCCGACCCCAATATCGTTTGGGACTAAGGCTTGGATGTTGTTGTTGTTGTTGTTGTTGTATTAGCCCTAAATAGGACTAATATTATTCATAAATGCAACAATAGGACTACAACCATTTTTATTCCCAAAATAGGAGTAATAATTGTCCCTCTTTCTATTTTACCCCTTCCTATAATCCCTAATCCATTTATTTTATTAATATGAAAATCATAGTTTTAGTTATAATAAAAATAAAAAAAATAATAAAATATCAATAAATTAATAAAAAACGTGAAAAAATTAAACAAAATAAAATAAAAAAAACTTTAAAAAATTAAATATAACATAATTAAAAAACTTTAAATAATCATAAAAAATAAAATAAAATACCTAAAAAAATATCAAAAAATATGTCGGCCTCTGCGGTCGCAGCCTCCACCTCCCAGCATCACCAGCTCCAATTGTCAGAAAAAATGTCATCTTGTGTAAACAATGCCACATTCCTCTGAAAATGTCATTAAAATGACATTTTTACTCTTTGAAAGTATCCTCTTTCTTTTCAAAATTGCCATCACGACGACATTTCTTTTGCAAGTTTGCATTTTTTCCGACGACCAAAAGTGGTGGTGTTGGAAGATGGCTGAGGTGGTGGTTGAGGCCTATATATTATTAATTAATTTTTTTACGTTAGTTTATTTTAATTTTTTATGTATTAATATTATTATTTAAAAAATCTTATTAAGCATGCCAAACGAGAGGGTAGAATAGGAAGAGTTAGTCCTATTTTGGGAATTTAAACTTTATGCTCCATTGCAATTTTGCTTTTATTTACTCCTATTTAGGGGATTGTCGCATTTTATTATATCTGTATGTTCCTAATTCACTTGGATATTTTAGAGGCTATGAAGCTAAAAAAATCAGATTTTTGGTAGCCATGTGAATATGTGATCCTTTGAAGTCATTACTATGGGGGTGTTTGGAACTAATCATGCTTTTGCTTCTTTTTTCAAGCCAAAAGCAGAATCATAATCAGTGTTTGAAGTACTTCTGGACTTTAGGAGAATCAGTTTTCAGAATCAGATTCAAACACTCCCTATATATACGTTCAAGACATTATTAAAGATGGTCTACTTGAGTATTAGTAGAAAGAGAGGGAATCAAATGCTTATTGCTAGGCACATCTTATTCTTCCATTAGATGAACAAGATAGATTAGAAATAAGCCTCTAGTGCCTTTTAATGATACGATCCTACTTATCAGGAATAAAGAGTTAGTGTGCTTGGTGGTTGGCTCTTAAATCAAGGCTTGGCCATTATGTGTGGACAACAACATGGGTCATTGAGATTTTGTTTCAACTATCCAGCTACTAATTTGGAGAAACAATACTGACCGCAAGGTGGTGCTCAGTAACTAGAGAATGCTTGGAGGGACATTTTTATATCTTGCATATTATTAAATGTAGAAGAATCTTGACTATGTGATTACACCTTTTGAATGCTTGTGTGAACTTTTGTGTGCTTGTTTCTGTTGGAAGAACTAGAGCTTTATGGCCTTTCTAGGAGAGGTTTTGATGTTCTCTTGCCATAGCATCTTTTGTATTGGAATCCAAATGTCTTGTTAAATGCTGCTTCAAATGTCATTTATGATCTTTCCTTAAATTCAAATATTTGTTTTTTATTTAGGTTAGTGTGGCTCATTACTTTCCAATAATTATTACCTTTGAATATATAGAACACAGAAGAAGATAATTTGTAATTTGATTTAAAAGTTGTTGACTGATTTGCTTGTCATGTTCCATAATTTGCATGTTGGTCTTGTAATATCAATCATGTGATGGACATGCCATTCATTAATATCTTAGCTCATCGCCGTCTCATGACATTTCCATGCATGTGAGAGCCTATGGTGATGATGGTCCTTTGAAATTTCTTGCAGTTATTCCTTCTTAAGAAGTTTGCAACAGGAATGGCTTCTGGCCTAGCCACTATGTTTTTTGCGTGAATTTATAGGGTTAATTAATTTTCTACTGCTAATTGGCGGTATAAATTTAGTGCCACCAATCCCAACTAGTCAGGATTAAGGTGATTATAATGATGATGCTGTGTTGTTGAATGTTTTGCATCATCAAAGTATATGGTAGGAATCTATTTATCATTAATATGCTTACTAAGTCTATGTACTTAACTTTTAAATGCCTGCTATTTTTCATCCATTAAAATTTTTCAAGTGACTACCTTTATCAATCTCTTAACATAATCCACTTATCAGCGTCAATATTTGATTGTAAACCATATTGGGGCAATCCGTGCGGAGCATGACGATTTCACTATACGCTTTTCTTCATCTATGAATCAGGTGCTCCTTGGTGCCTTTCTTTTTTTGACTAGCACATTGTGAATGCTTTTAACATACATGCACAATTTTTTTTCCCCAATGCCGTGCAACTTCATGTCATATTCTATTCTTGTAAAAGGATGAGTACAATGGCACATCATATAATATACTAAGTACTTGTTAGAGTTGCATATTTCTAATATGAAGTACTTGTTCTGGTTGTATTCTTTTTATGTACTCCATCCCTTTAGAAGTGGAATAGTAGTGATGCCATAAGGCAACCTAGATGTGAACACACACACACATTTATTATGTAGACGAACTTGTAATTTTGGCCTTACAAAATTTAAAAGCTTCAATAAATTTTTTGCCTTGAAGCACTTGGCGGCATAAGAAGTTTCTTATTCTCATTGTGTAGCTTGTACTGCTGAAATCAGTAGAAGGTGCCGATATTGAATGGGTCAAGGAGGTCAAAGGAAACATGTATGATGTGGTCGTTGAAGGTTTCCAATTTTTAAGCAGATGGAGTGCTCGTATATGGGAACAAGCTGCTTGGAAATTTTCGCGTCCATGCAAGGATCCTGTCCCAACAGAGTTGCATGAACCGGCCGGATCGTATTCTGACTATGAAAAGGTTTTGTTGTATTTTTAATTATGGAAGTACCATCCCTAGTCTATTAGAAACAGCTCTACGACTGTTGTTTTTTGGAATTTGTAGTTTACCAACCTCCCTAAAACTTCTAATGATCAAAACCTCTCTCAACGACTTTAACTCTCCAGCTCCAATTTAGTAGGTTCTTCTAATTGCTGATCACGAAGGCAACAAAACAAAGACGTACCATTTTTGGCATCAAAGAATAAGTGCAGATTGTACATAGACTGTATTTCCGCTTCCAAACCCACTCAACCTCTGTATCACTTTGCCTATTTTTTCCATGATCTCCAATTAAGTGAGATATAAAGTGCAATTGGATGGTTCTTGTTTAGTTTACAAATTTCCATCATCTATGTAGTTCAAATTCTCCTTGATAACTTATTTAGTATTCTTTCTTCCATTGGAGTATCTCATCTTTCATCAAACTACTATGAACTCTTCTTGAAAATCATGTCAGCTGCAGCTATCATTTCATCCAATCCAACTTATTCTGAATGTTGTTGGTTAATCTTGTAAACTGAATGATATATGTTGTATTGACACAGGTCGTTCGTTATAATTATAGTGCTGAGGAAAGGAAAGCTTTGATCGAACTTGTTAGCTACATCAAAAGCATAGGATCCATGTTGCATAAGGCTGATACACTAGTAGTTGATGCCCTATGGGAGACTATACATGCAGAGGTTCAAGATTTTGTCCAAAACACTTTGGCCATTATGTTGAGAACTACCTTCCGAAAGAAGAAGGACATTTCCAGGTGCTGAATATGGGAGATATTCTATTTTTATGCATTAAAGCAACAGGAGGTTATAAATTGTTGCATGGAGATGCTGTCTAGAGAAGTTGGGAAATCTTATATCTTTATGTATTAAAGCTATAGGAGGTTATAAATTATTGCCTGTAGGTGCTGATTAGAAAAGCTTAAAACATATTGATAACTTTTATGAACTTCCTTACTGCTCTGTGCTGTCTTTATTTTCATGTATTCAGGATTCTTTCCGACATGAGGACACTGTCAGCAGATTGGATGGCAAATAATACCAGGCTTGATTCTGATGTTCACTCATTTCAGCATGGAAGTGAAGAAAGCAGAGGGAACTTGTTTTACCCAAGGCCAGTAGCACCAACTGCTGCACAGGTTTCTGTAACTATTATTTTTCAGGATTAATTCTTAAGACATAAAAACCCACAATTTTATACTTTATGTTATCCATTGTTTTATTTTTTAAGTTACTCAAGGCACTGTTATAATTCATAAGCATCTTTTATCTTTTAGAGGTAAATACCACCTTTTGGCCTCACTAGTTGGCAGATATTGGTGTCATGGCCCATGGGGGGGGGGGGTGGAGGGCATTTCAGATGGGTAGCAGGCTCTATACAAATTGTTTTTACAATTTTTCTTCCTCATTCAGATGGGCATTTCTAGTGTTCTTTTCCTATGAAGAGTATGGCTGAGGCTAGAAAATATATTTAGGGCCTAATTTTGATCCATATAAATCTTGGCCTGTCTTTGAACCGTTAAATAACCATCGATAATAAGGTATATCAAGAGGTAAAAGAATGAAGAAAAATAGTCACGGGTCCATATGTTTCTACTTTCTACCACATTCTTCAGGAGAAGAAAATAGGATGGGTTGCAAAATATGCTGTCAGAAGTATAGAGCTAGAGGTGGTAAAAAGGGAAAATTAAGTTGTATCCCTCAATCCCTCATGCCCAAATTTGAAAAGTTACATCCAGACCACCATAATATTTCATACAATATTGGCTGATTATTAATATTTTGAAGTCCTTAGTTTGGTTAAAAAAAGTTTGGTGCATAGTTAATTGTTTTGGTTTCAATTATTGGATAAATATTCTTGGCTCAGATAGTCCACATTTTCATTCCACAGTCTTTAAATATTATTCTACTTTCTTGCAGGTACACTGTCTGCAGTTCCTCATATATGAAGTGGTATCAGGTGGAAATATGAGGAAGCCAGGTGGTGTTTTTGGAAACAGTAGCTCTGACATTCCTGTCAATGATTTAAAACAGTTCGAAACATTCTTTTACAAGCTTGGCTTTTTCCTGCACGTTCTGGACTACTCAGGTTCATTGGATAATGTTCATTTTTCCTTGTAATCATTATTGATAATGCTGACTTTGGGCATAACAATTCGTATCTGGTCACATCTCTTCAGGGGATGCTATGTTCTCAAAGATCTTTTTTTGATACATTTTAGGTTTTTCTAACGATTTTTAAATCCCACTTGCCTCCTATAGCGCATTTTACAAACCAAACCACACACAGAGTATGTTCCACTCAGAAGTAGTATCTGGGGAATGCGCTACGGCTATGTATGCAAACATCACCTCTACCTTTAGGTGTAAAGAGACTGTTTCTGTTACAAGGCCCTGCTAAAGAATATACATTGTTGTTATCACTATCGTTTTTGTCGCCACCACCTGGGTCACCACCACTCTTATTATTATTTGGTTCCTTTACTAGTATTAGTATTACATTCCTATTATTTACGTAGCAGTTTCCTGATAGTAGGGGTTCTGTTTTAGTTAATATCTTAAAAGAAGTATTCTAATAGGTTTAGTGTTACTCTAATACTAGGCCTCTATTTGGGACTTGTAGTCTTGTAAAAAAAAGGTGCTATATTCATTAAGAATATCATCAACACTTTTGGATTTTTCGTTAGTTTTCAAAAGGCTGGACGCTTCATACTCTAGCCCAGGCCCCAGGGTGAAAGAAGTTCATCTTTATCAATTTCAATCTTCTTCATTTTATCTCCCAACAACGACCATAACCTTGTGTTAGAGATCTACCTATTAGACTAATAAATAGAAGAGTTAGTTGTAGTTATATTTCGGTTATTAAATAATAACTAGAGTAAGCTGTATGGAGAGTCTATAAATAGAATTAGTCTGGGAAGGGGAGGTAGGCTGTTTTTGGAGACTTTGTCTTAGACTGGGAAGTTAGAGCTTTGTCTCTTTCTTTTGGGGGCTTCGGCCTTTGTAGTTGTTCATCGATAATAAAACTTCTTGAAGTTCTTGATACTTTTCTCTATTTTCTCTTTGATTTTGTTGTGATTTCTGAGGGATTCTTACAGTGGTATCAGAGCGCGTCGGTCGCTGGATGAAATACACTCGTACTAAGATGGAAGGACGCATCACAGAGGTAGAAAGAAACTTGACGGAGTTTGCAAGAAATCAGAAGGAGTTAGCAGCAAGGCAAGAAGATATGGCGAGGAAGATGGCCGCTATGCAAACTACCATCGCGGATATTCAGAGCCGACTCCCACGTCCTTCGCGGAACCGGTCACATACATCAGACGCGTCGCATCGCAGATCACTCACCAGCTCGCAGAAGGGGTCGCGAACTATTTCTTTTGGTTCGCACGCGCAGACGGCTTCTTTTAGTTCACTATTGCAAATATCTTCTCACCATTCGCAATCGCAAACAGAGTATCTCCCTTCGCAGACTTACTCAGCGGTTATCGATTCGCGTCCAAGAAAGACGCAATTGAGAGGAGAATCTTCATCTTCATTGCCGGACTATTCTTCCAGACCACATGCATCGTTACTTGCGGAAACGTACAACTCGTCATCACGAGCCAGTTTCCTCAGTTGTTCGCAGGAGTCTTCGCAGTCGCTAACTGATTCTTGGAGTTCGCAGCTAGGGTTGCAAACCGTCTTTCATAATGCGCAAAATTCATCGTTCCCACGGAAGTCCTTCAAAACAGCGTTGAATCAAATGTTTCAACTGGAATTAGATGACGAGAAGGAATTGTTAGAAATACCTTCTGAGAGATATCTGATAAAATCTGATGTTAAAAATAGCATACTGGATTATATGAGTGATGAATCTGCTAGTCTTTGGATACAGCACACAGATTCTTTATGATGACAGCTATGTACATAAGACACCAGAAAAGTACCTTGATATGTACATACTCAAGAAAGTAGATGAGGAAAGGGAAAAGGGCTGTACAAAACCAACATATCAGAACACTAATTTGGGCAAGGAAAGCTGCCCAAGAAGCAATGACCAAGAGCAAGGAAATTGGGCAAAGTCTTCAGGCTATGGTATGATAGGGGAATGCTTAAATGAGGAATCAAGTATGCAAGTTGCAGACGTACAAGAAGAAGAATTGCAGCCATGGGTTGAGAGCATGTTAGACGACCCTAAGCTTGACTCACATAATCCATTGAAAGCACCTTCAGTTCAACAATTGGAGATGAAAGAGGAAAATGTGAAAGGATTAGAAAATGATTCATCAAATAACCCAGAAGCTCCAAGGGTGCAATATCCTTCATCAAAGGGAATGTTGGAAGAGCAGAACCAGATTGAGGAATCCAAAATTGAAGCAGCAGGTTCTGCACCATTCCTGTCATTGTGTGCACATATCAAGTCTGGATTACAGGACTCCCATTGGAAAACTTCTTTTAAGAACTCTGAAATGGAATCTACCATTGCTCTCGATCAGTTAATCGATGTTCCTGCTGTTATTATCAGTCCAGGGGAATACTTCATGTCAGATACTACAACTTCAAGGAGTGGAGCAACAGAAATTGAAAAGGTTTGGGGACTGTCAACAGTGGGTATTATTGTGCTAGATGGAGGTGTAGGTCATGACATGCAATCTCATAGGGAAATTGCTGGTACAGAGATCGAGATTTTCTGGAAAAGAGATGAGCACTGGAAAAGGGGAAACATGGTTCACCAACTTACTAATAGAAGAATGAGGGAGAAGTATGTTATGAATGCTGACAGTCAGGACCAAGAAATCAGGAGTGAAGGGCTGGGCAATATCCCTGAGGAAACAAGATTACACCTAAAAAAAGGAACCAACACTCAAGTTTTCCTTTCTCCAAGTGGTGCTGGTGCCCCTGTAGACATCCTGCAGTACATGACATCAGGATCTGAAGTTACTGAACTGGTTGTGGGGTTTGTAAGCTGCCAGGCATCTATGGGATATTATATCCTTTACAAACTTAAGGATCATTATGTCACCATATCCTTGCATCTGTGTATTACTGCCATGAAGTACATATGGAAAAAGATGAAAGAAATGAAGCTAAAGGTCCAGCAAGCATTCAAGTATTGGGAAGGGAGAGGCATAAGGATGAAGAAGAAACAAAGGATCTTGGCTGTGTCCTATCACCCACCTTGTGGGCAAGGTGGATGTTTAGGAGGGGAGTATTGTTAGAGATCTACCTATTAGACTAATAAATAGAAGAGTTAGTTGTAGTTATATTTCGGTTATTAAATAATAACTAGAGTAAGCTGTATGGAGAGTCTATAAATAGAATTAGTCTGGGAAGGGGAGGTAGGCTGTTTTTGGAGACTTTGTCTTAGACTGGGAAGTTAGAGCTTTGTCTCTTTCTTTTGGGGGCTTCGGCCTTTGTAGTTGTTCATCGATAATAAAACTTCTTGAAGTTCTTGATACTTTTCTCTATTTTCTCTTTGATTTTGTTGTGATTTCTGAGGGATTCTTACACCTTGCCACTCCACCTCAAGCTAGATCATATGAAAAAGTGCAGTTATCTCGGCAGAAAAGTTGTTTTTTATTTGTGAAACTAAAAACTGATATCTTGAACTGATTTTGGAGGTGCACTCGAAATGTTAACTTAACTTTAGTACTTTAGCTTCTCTTGAATAGAACTTCACTTGAACAAAATATCTTTCCTCTATTTATCTAAACAATATATATTACAAATATGTTTTTTGCAGCGACACTGGGAACTATTACAGATGTGGGTTTCTTATGGTTTCGGGAATTCTACTTGGAATCTTCCCGAGTTATTCAGGTATACTTTGTTGTTTTAACAAATGCATACGTTAATGTTTCTAGTCTTCAAATGTTACAGAATTCGCATGGAGCATTTTGTTTTTTGTCAATCTCCTTTTTTGGGGTTTTATTTTTTACTAGTATAATGGTTTGTAATATTTCTGCATATCTGATGCTATTCTAAAGCGATAAGAAGAGAGAGAAATGACTTTAGTTAGTGTTAAGAGTCAATATGCCACTCAACTGAACTCAACTTAAATAAAATATGCAAATAGGCCACTGAAGTAAAACCTTATGCATTGGACTAAATTAGTAATTCAAAGTGTGATTTTTGTTGTTAATGGGTTTTTCAATGATGATACCGTTTTACTTAACACATGGTGTGTATGTGGTCTTCTGACATGAATTATGACCATTACAGTCACCATCAACGGTGACAAGAACTTCTATTGCAAGTTTCCTTTTTGAAAAGGACTAAACTAGGCACCTGGTCACCTTTCATCTTCACCCTGATTTTTGAAGGGCAGGGAGGCAATAATTTGAAGTAGGGAATATATTGTGGTGGATTCATCGCACATTGTACAATTCTCATCGTAGTATCAGTGCTTATGGAATGGCCAAATGTATTTCAGCTTTCTCCTTGCATATAATTTACTCTTATATGCGTAGAAGTTATTTTAAGGGTTTGAACTCTTATGATTCTTATCAATATGGGTATGAAGTTGTCAATTGAGTGTGTCAAACTCGAGCTAAATGTGCCCAACGGTAATGAGGGAAAGCAGAGGTGAGACATATGCCTCACAAGCTATGTTGGTGGAGCTTAAGGGATGATAGACACTTAATCTTTGTGACCCATATCCTGGGTTGATCATCTCCGTCATCTCACAAAGTGGCATCTTTGTGACCGAACCACATGTATTTTCTTGTTCCATATTCAAATGAAGTCCCAACACTCATGTATTTGATTACACCCCCCATCCATGTCAACTTCGGTCAACTACGACTCTCTAGATCTTTATTATTCAAAAACTCCACTTTATGTATCTTTATATCGAGGTATAATCCCCTGGTGAAAATGTGCATTAGCCAATGCAGTCGGTTCTCCTGGTGACAGAGACCGTCTTTGTTATTCATATCCTAGGCTGATTATCTCCCTTATCTCACAAATTGATGTCTTTAAGAGAGAACCACATGCACTGTCTTGTTCCATATTCGAATGAAGTCCCTACATTCTAATGTATGTGATTACATCCCCAATCTATGTGAATTTAAGTCAACTACGACTTTCTAAATCTTCATCATTCACGCACTCCGCTTTATGTATCTTTATATCGGGGCATAATCCCCTTTTGAAAAATGTGCCATAATAATTGTAGTTGGTTCTCCTTTATCTTATATAGTAGATGTGGCACCCACTGTCACACGGATCTTCTCATTATAGCTCTTTATAGCTCATCCAATTTCACCCCATGCCTTTCATCTTTAATCATGTTATATTTGTACTCTAAATGCTAAATTTTTAGTTCACCTTACCTTAAGCCCTCATTATTCAAACTCTTTTCTTTATGTTTTTTAACTTCGCATTTAATCAATGATAAAAAAACTTAGCATTTAATCATTCACGCGTACCCATCAACTAAATCAATATTTTTTTCCGGGTAAACTAATATATCTTGTAATTAGAGAGAGAATTTTGAACTAGGCTTAAGGTGGAATCAATGGGTGCTCGACCTGACCAAGATGCACAAGAGTTAACTCTCGAAAAAGTAGTTGATTCAATTATAATATCTAAACACCCTTGTATAGCTATGTCAAGAGCTTTAATCATAATAAAAAACTCAAAGTGAGAGGCTAATAAGATGTTGCCTAAAACTGAATGTGAATTCAACATCAATAGTAATATTCTTTTTTTACAAATATTTCTAATTTACATCATTTCCAATGGAGCAAAAAAATTACCTTTTTTTTGGCTCGGGAATATGATGGAATAAAGCAAAATGGCTCACTAAACTGTTTCCACTTCTTTGTTATGAAGCAGTAGTCAGTCCACACAATTTTCAATGCGATTTTCATCATGTGTCATCCGAAAACAATCTCTCCGTGCTTTAGTACAGGAGTAACTGAGTAAGGTTGCGTACATATGACCCCCACTTATCCCACCGAAGGTGGGATCCTTTGCAGCACTGGGGTAGTGTTATTGTTGTATTGTTGTATTGTTGTATTTCTAATTACTAATGGGATACTGATAAATTTTTTTAATATCTCTACCCCTATAGTGTTAGGCTAGGCATGTCCATGCCAATCTAACAAACTATGCTATTTTTTTCATGGTCATTAGTAATTAGAAATATTAGTAATTTAATGTTATTTGAACTACAAATGAACTTATTTATGAAATTATGTAAATTACTGTTATTTGGAGTTTACTTTGTGTTTTTAAGTGTTGTATTCGATGTTTTATTTTCACCTTTAGAGGGAAAGGGAATGGCAGGGTTGCTAGATGTCTTATTATGATATGTACTCCACATACTTTTTGGTGCAAAATCAAGTGATGCTTTACTGCACTTTTGCCATTGCAAAATTGCATTTAAGTTATACAGAGAGCTTTAAAGTCAATCCATGAATCTGCAAATGCATCTTAAGACATTTATCTTTTTCCATGCATTCCTGCAAGGAACCTTTTCCTTTGTTTTCAAGCGAATGCATTTGTGGTTTCATTTTCAGTTTCCCATTGAATGCTCCCTTCCATGGATGCTGGTGGATTACGTCTTTGAATCACACAATGCAGGTCTTCTTGAGAGCATTTTGATGCCATTTGATATTTATAATGATGCTGCTCAGCATGCATTAGTGGTCCTCAAGCAACGCTTCCTCTATGATGAAATTGAAGCTGAGGTAATAAAAAGCATATTGACATTGTTTTTGAGTAGGGGTTAGTGGATTCTGTAGGACCAGAAACAAGCACATGTGTACATTAATAGCTCTGCATGGACCAGGTTTTCTATTTCATGGAGATTCTTCCATGTTTTATTCTACTGTTCAACTTTTTGAATTCTGTCTGCTTCACTTCTTTTACTTGTAATTCAAGCCTTCGCTATTTCCAAACCTTTTTAGTTGATGTGGCTACTACTATAGCTTGTTCAAGCTGGCAATGCACACATGTTCTAGCTGCAACTTTCCACTCCATTGTTTCAATTTATTTGTGTAAACAGATCTGGCAAGTGAGAAGTTCTGTGTCATTGGTCAAAATCTGTATAGGAGTTGCTCTTATATGGATGCTTCATTGTTGTCTATTTTGACCTTTCCAAAGATCATTGTCTTCTTTGAATTTTGTCGAGCATATGATGAGGAATATGTCTCCTTTTTAGTGTTGGCAGGAGTTTTTTAGGTATATGCATTTTGGTTCCTATTTTTATAGTCCTGGTCTTATTTCAATGATTTTATCTTTATGTTCAGTTCACTTTTTAGTGAAAGTTATATTCAACATCATATTTCTTTTTAGTTGTTGGAGGGGATGTTTCCGCTCATGAAAGACTCGTAACAGCAATTTATTTTTAATCTATTTAGGTGGACAATTGTTTTGATATATTTGTTGCAAAGTTGTGTGAGACTATTTTCACATACTATAAAAGTTGGGCAGCGAGGTACACATTTGTATAGTTTCAAATCTTAGATAAAGCTTCATATGACTTTATTAATTAAACTTCCCTAATTATATTTGTTACCTCATTTGTGTAGTGAGCTTCTTGATCCAACATTCCTTTTTGCCATAGATGCTGCTGAAAAGTTTACATTCCAGCCAATGAAGCTCAGTTCTCTGTTGAAGATAACTAGAGTGAAGGTGACATACTTATGCTATTTCTTTACGGTATAATTGTGGAGATAAGTTATGAATTTGCCGCTCTTTTGATATTGTGATGTACATTCACATTGTGCAATACATTTCAAAGTCTCATTTGCTCCTTTAGTCCTATAAAATGCCAAAGTTCTCTGGTTTATGTGTTAATTCAATCAGTTTTTGATCTAATCTTTTGATGTTTGTTTCATGGACAGTGGAAACACTAAACATGCTGCGACACTTTCTGCATAAAGAATATTTTTTTTCTTTGCAATGTGTCGTGTTTACAATGTTTCATGCTCATTATGCTCACATGTTTCCTAATAGGGCCAAATTTTTTCATGTAAAAAAATGTTAGTGTTAGCATGCTCAAAATGTATGTTCTGGATGCAAGTTATGCAACTTTTTTCACGAAAAAGTAAAACTAACCTTATCATATTGGCTCTTCTGCAAAAAGTAGGACAGGAAACAATGTGCAGGGCCACCAGAAATCATCTTCATAATTGCAAATTCAGTGTTTTTACCCAAATTAATTCTCGTGCTCAAAGTGTTCTTGCCTTGTACTCTTCTTCTTTGTGTGAACATGCAATTAAATCTTGTTATTATACTTTTCCAAGACATGAGCTTACCACCAGCGAAGAGACAAAATACATGATGCTTATCTTCTATCCAAATGACATCTGGTCGAGCACTACTTCGAGCACTCATTTGAGCCTTCAAAGTTAGAAGGCTATAGATGTGATCCATGTTAGATAGGAAAGCATAGATAAGCTCCATACCCCACTAGAGTAAATAGATGGTCCACCACATACTTTTCCCTAATTCATCAGAATAATTGACAGGCATGTCAAGTCTCTTCTCTTTGGAGTTTCCATTATTTTTAATCTATATAGAATGACATTTCTTGTTGCATGTTGGTCATCTTGAAGATTTTTTATAGAGAACCGGACACTTCCACTAATAAGAATAATATTAAGTAGTTAATATAGTACAATAAGAGGGTTCTAGGTCCAGTAACTTAGTGGACGAGGGCCGGCCCATTAGGAGAGTATTATAATAAGCGCAGGTAAGGGGAAAAAGGGGTAGGCAGAAATTAGCCGGAACTGGGAATGGGAGTGATTAGAGTATGGTTCTCAAGATTTTATGAGTATTTTGAGTTATGGGCCTGCCAACTTGGTTATCATATCATTGACAGTTTTAGGTAGAATTTTTAAAGAGCCTTAGGGGGTTATATTACAAGAAATCTCTCATGATGTCTGTAATGGAACCAAAAGGCTATGCCTTAATTTAAGAGACATCATTGATGGATTAAGGAGAAAACGTGTATAGGGGTCGGCATTTTTAAGATAAAAACTCCTTTGGTTTTTACTTTTATGTAGACTTGAAACTCCCATTGAATCATTTTTTGAATTTATTGGTTGTATTTTATAGCTAATGCCTCATTATATAAAAATAATAAGCTATGCACACCCAAAATCATATACTACGTAACACCCTAGAGTTTTAACAGTTTCCATCCATCTTATAGCATATCAACCAATTTAAGTCTTATTCTAGTACAATAACTAACTATACCAAATATTTAAACACACCAATCCGAAATTAAAGAAACCTAATTAAACCTAATTTCACTTGTGTGACTTCCCTTTATTCTTGCACATGCATCACCAAATGTAACTCACTGAAGCAAATTTGAACTCTTAAAATGGGAAACACTCTCTCATCCTTGTTGGGGACATGTGATAGTTGATCAAAATCAAATGGATGCTTTTCATACATTGGGAACTTATGAGATGGGTCCCTTTAACTCTCTCAAGCCTGCAACGGTTGGATTCAAATCACATGACAGCTTTTCAAGATCTATATAGAAGATTATTGAAAAAAAGATGTATCTAACAGTGACTCGTTTATATATCCCTTTTGCACTAGGTGTCATAAGTTTGTTCTTAGCATCTGAATGTTAGTCATTGGAATGCTCTTGTCAGAATACTACTGTACAATGCATACATTGACAAGTCCTTGACCATTCTATATTTATGCAAAATCATGTATGGGGGTTGGTTACACAAGTGAAGATGAGGTTGGGAGCACTTAGGGTAGGAGATTAACTTATGAGTAGTGTTTTATTTGTGTGGAAACTTGATGTCATGCGAAAGAAACATGAAGTGGTCCATTGATCTCGTGGACAATGACACTTAGAATATGTGAGCTAATTTGGCTAAACGTATCTTACGGTCTTACCAGTTGATGTCTGGGAGAGCGGGACTTATGATTCGTATTTGCGATGACCATGTAGCGATACATATAGCATCCAGTCCATTCTTTCATTTACTGCAGTGGATTGTCCATCTTTTAGGGGAGAAAAGTCACCTCAGGAGGAACTTCCATATTTTTTGCAGGCTCAAATGACCAATTAGCGAACACACACACATACCAATTCATAAAAAGGACCGCGAGTTGAATATTTCTATAAAAGCTGGGAGTTTACTATATTTTTATGCTCCATTTTTAGGGGAGTATTGAGAACTTATGAGAAATAGCCTACAATAGATGTCACATAGTTGTAAAGGTAGGAGAATAAAATTTGTATTTAGCAGTGACTTATTTGCAGTTTCACACCATGTACACACACAAAACACCAATTTTAACTAACTTAACTTGATAGTATGTTCAATTTTAATGAGTAAAACCACATTTCCAGTTGCTTTGGCCTTCGGCAAACATTTTCTATTTCACTACCTTCTGTTTGCTAACATATGTTTAATCAACAACTTTGATGTCCTTCTGATGCATAGCTTTTGGGAAGATCAATCAATTTGAGGAGTTTGATTGCAGAGAGGATGAACAAAATGTTTCGAGAAAATATTGACTTTTTGTTAGACCGCTTTGAATCTCAAGACATATGTGCCGTCGTGGTAATTAAGGATACTTTGATTTTCTTTTTCTCGTTTATAGGATTTGTTGACTTCCGTCAGTACTGAGCATAATTTGTTTGTATCTTATTCTTTGTGATTTCCTAATTTCAGGAGTTGGAAAAGCTTCTTGACATTATGCAACATGCCCATGAATGTATGTCCAAAGATCTTACACTAGATTCTTTCAATCTTATGATAAATGAAATGCAGGAGAACACATCTCTTGTATCGTATTCTAGCCGGCTTGCTTCTCAGGTTTGTAGCTCTATATCCCCTGCAATTTCGAATTCATGATTCATTGTCCTTTCAGCGTACCTTTATTTCTATTTTAGCTCAACTGCTCAAGATAGTATGTATCCTCTCATGGTCATGTACTCATGTTCCATGATTGGCATCTAGGTCTTACAATATCAATCATGTGATGGACATGATCTCAACTTATTGCTGTGTCATGTTATTTTCATTGCAAGTGGATATTACCCAGAATGAAAGTTTTAGCATTTTCATCTCATTATATTTTACTATAAAGGTCGCGCAGGAGGCATCCTGTGTACAACATTGCCACAATGTTTTTTTGCATAAATTTGTAGTGCTAATTAACTTTATAAAATTAACTGGCCCTAGAGTTTCCTATATTTTTAGTGTTAATTTCATTTATAAAATTTAATGCTACTAAAAAATAATACCACCAACCCCAAATAGTTGTTACATTAATGATAATGATGATCATGACAGTAGGTATATACTCATTGTTGTTTCCGTGATTCTAGTTATAGGAAAAAATGGAAACAGAGTGGTCTCAGTTTCAACAAAGGTACAGTGAATTCCTTTGCAATACAATTAAAAACAACTGTTGATTCTCAGGCTTTGTTTGCAACCACTTGTGCTTAAATAAAAGCACTTTTGGGGAAAAAGTGATTAGTAGTAAAAGTTGGTAGTGTTTGGTAAAATAAGTGCTTTTTGTGTAATAGAAAAAGTAAAAAGTAGATTCTACACGGAAGCCGAGAAAGTAAAAGTTGGTAGTGTTTGGTAAAATAAGTGCTTTTTTCTTTAAAAAAATTTAAAAGCACTTTTTTTAATGGATTGCAAACAGACCCTTACAAGCTTGACTGAACCAAACCACTCGGAAGACTTTTTGACAGGATTATCGTTTTACGCTCTAATTACCAAAGGAAACCGCTTGTCCACGTTTTTCTCCGAAACTTCTGACGCATAAATCCTGTTCTTCCAAGCCAGTTTGCAACTGCCATATTAATTCTGATAATTTTTTCTGGATTCATTAATATTAGACTTTGCTGTTAAGAGCTGCCAGCTCATCCTAGATTATCTTGAAGATAATGTTGAATTATCTTGAAGCCCAAATCAAACTTCTGTAACTAAGTTAATGAGTTTTGCTCAAGGCAATGGAATGCCAAAATTTATCAACTGAAAAGTCTGTGTCTATTATAATATTAAACAGCAAGCTATGGTTACCCAAGAACAATGGATGAAGTCATGAAACTATATCAAGTATAATAATGTCAATTATTATTCCACTTTAGTAATATAATCTAGTCATATTCCACAAATATTTCCGCTATAATTGACATTGGATTTCATGCATCCCATTGCAATGTACTTGACTACTAGTGAATACGGTGGTGCTGATGACCATGACGACTATAATAACAATATAATCCCACCCTAGGCACTTAGGTAAGATGAAAATAATCACATTGCAAATATTTATGGCTTAAACAATGAACTAGACTTTGGTGCTGCATTTCGGGTATCAAATCTCAATCATCATTAGCATTTTGTGTTTATTTGTATTAGACAATGAATACGGTTTATGTGGAACATACTATTTCCTACTCAATAATGAATTGAGAACAGTTACATTTTGTGCACATTTCTCACAGTGCTCCATGCTACTAGTAAGTGTTTTTTGCTCTCCCTAAACTTAGGGATTTTTCAGTTAGCACATTCTTTACCTGTCTTACATGGAAAGCTACTAATTTTTGTGATTGTAGTATTTCAATAATGTCACAAGTTGCTTATCTTATTGTGCTTGCTAGATTTGGTCAGAGATGCAAAACGATTTTTTGCCAAACTTCATACTCTGCAATACAACTCAGCGTTTTGTCAGATCTTCTAGAGTGCCTTCTGTTCCTGTGCAGAAACCCTCTGTTCCGTATGCAAAGCCAAACTTTTACTGTGGTAACCCTGTAAGAAGTTACTGAAAATTTAATCTAGGGCTTTTTGAGACCATGTACTTCCTGTGTTGTTTTTTTTGCTCATTTCAAATATGTTGATTGTACCTGTTTAATTTGTCCTAGGATTTAAATTCTGCTTACCAGAGCTTCGCTCGATTGTATTGCGGTTTCTTTGGAATCCCTCACATTTATTCCATTGTGAAGCTCCTAGGGTCTAGATCATTGCCTTGGCTTGTCAGAGCCCTCTTGGATCATGTGTCAAGTAAGGTATTAGATGGATCTCAAACACATTCTTGATCATTTTTTGACTTGGAAAATATTCCATTTCTATTATACATTTAAACTACTGCAAAACATGGTAACTCTATGGATATCAAAGTACCTACATTGATGAGATAAGAAGCCTCTCTTTGTGTTCAGCTATTGTATTTGCAAATTACGTGTTCATCATAGTTGTTTGTTTGTGCAATCATGGTCTTAACGTATCATGCATCTAGGTTTTAGTCGTTATAAAGGACTTACCAATGAGCTACTGATATTTTACATGTTTCGTTTAGATAACTACTATTGAACCAATGACTATCGGCTTACAAGAAGTTTTGCCGAAGTCTATCGGGTTGCTTTCTTTTGATGGAGGAGTAGCAGGTATATTGGAGGCGATTCTTGTAGCTATGTATTGTTACTGCTTATAAGTTTGCCGCATCACTGCATTTTATATAGTCATATAATATAATTGTGAAGATAACTATTTGCATCATAAAAATGACCAAACTTTATTTGTTGGAATATGTGGGGCTTATAACTTTTATGCTAATTTGAAGCATCACCATTTTCTTGTGTTAGAGTAGAAGCTGTGATTATGGTATCTCATTAACATGTAGCTCTCCAACTTTATCAAATGTAAACTCTCTCGTTTATAATTTCTAGGCGATTGTATTCCTTACATATGTAGACCAAATATATAGTAATGAAGTGTGCAGGTATAGACCAAATGTCTAAAGATGTCTACAAAAACAAATCTTATAGAAATGTTGAGCAACATATTCTTCATCACAAAAGATGGTACAAAAATGTCTCTGAGTGAGATAGTATTTTTTTGTTGTAGACTTGTAGAAGTTATATTTCTAAATATAAGAAGCTACTCCCTCCGCCCCATAATTTTTTTCCCAGTTTGACTTGGATCAGAGTTTAGGAAAGTGGGAATTAAGTGGAAATGTATGGCTGTGTTTGAGTAAGAATAAGGTAAATGAATGTTAGACGCACAGTACTTTCTAAAAAGGGAAATGAAAAGAATTTTTTGGGACATCCCAAAAAGGTAAGTGGGAAGAATTTTATGGGACAAAGTATATTTTTTGTCCAGCACTTAGTGCCTTTTACAAGAGGATGACACTCCACCCAGAGGGCTCCTCAGGACCGTTCGAACAGTTATGATAAGAACAGAAAAAATAAAATCAACGGGGTGAACCGTTGCCTAGATAATCAACGATAAATAAATACCGTTGCCCAAAGCTGATAAGAACCCCAGAAAATATACAGAAATATCGAGAAACAAACTGGAAAACTGAATTGATGAAGAAGATGAATAGTATCGGTAACCAAGGCCGAAGCCCCCCAATGAGCCGAAGCCCCCCAAAAGAGAGAGAATGATCTCAATCTTCCCAAATCCCAAAGACAAAGTCCAAAACCGCCTTCTCAACTCCTCCCTGCTATCTTCTATTTATACTAAACTAATACACTTATTATTATTAATACTCTAATAGTCCCGGTCCCATTTTATTGTTATTAGTCTATTAGGCCCGGGTTCCTATCAAAAGCCAAAAGGCTAAACCAACTTTTATTCCAAGATGAGCCAGAATGAATCCTAACAAGGGGTTTAAATACCCATCTACTAATAATTAAACTAGGAAACAAAATCCTAGAAATCCTAATCAACTCTAACTAGGAAACAGAATAATAAAGATCATCAACTCCAAATAGGAAAGAAATAATAGAAATCCTAATTAACTCCTAATAGGAAACAAATATTAGAAATCCTAATTAACTCCTAATAGGAAACAAATCAGGAAAATTAAAAAGAATAAATATTAATTAAACAGCCCGTAACTAGCCCACGGAGGTAGGCTCAAGCCCGTCCCGCCTTTGGTAAACCCACGGGGCTTCTTCCCCTCTTTTTCCAAGCCCAGATTCTGCTTCATATCAATTCCATCCCCCTTCGAAAAAACCTTGTCCTCAAGGTTGAAATCCGGAAACCGGCTGACATTTGTTCCCGGTGGCTGCCCAGTATCTTTAGGAAAAATTGAGATGTACTCCTCCACAGTCCCTGTCTGCTTGCCTCCGGACAGCCGTTCAAAGCAATTGCCCTGAAACTGTGAGTCAAAACGAGCCACCAATGCCTGTGTAAGCTCATCCCATGACATGCCTGGCTTTCGTGTCCGCATCGAGGTCAACCGGTATAGGGCTGACCCTTCCATCACAACTACAGTGGCTGCCGCCTTCTTTCCCGGCAGAGCACAATTCAATTTGAACCGTTTCTCAGCCTTATCAACCCGGCTGATCGGTTCTACTTCGTTAAACGAGGGCAACGTTGTAAGAAAGGAGCTGCGTAGTCCAATTCCGAAAAAGGATGCTGCTGCCGCGTCGAGTGAAGTCACCACCATTGAATGCTCCGCCGCTGGTGGTGCGAGAGTCTCTTTTAGTGCAGCCAATGAAGAAGTGACGTTGTGCAGCTGTCTGTCGCCGCTGTGCGTAGATACGTTGGGGCTGCCAACCGTGTCCGAGCTTGTTTCCGTCGTGACTGATGGAATTAGCGTCTTGGTAAGCGCTGCCAGGGATGCGGCGATCTCTGCTAGACGCATGTTGTGCTCCTTTAGGGTTTGAGTTTGCTTGGCCAGCATCTCTAAGTCCTCTAACAAACGTTCCCCGATAGATCTCGTCATTCTGGCGGGACGGGATCCGGCAGGTCGGACCAATTGATAAGAACAGAAAAAATAAAATCAACGGGGTGAACCGTTGCCTAGATAATCAACGATAAATAAATACCGTTGCCCAAAGCCAAAAGGCTAAACCAACTTTTATTCCAAGATGAGCCAGAATGAATCCTAACAAGGGGTTTAAATACCCATCTACTAATAATTAAACTAGGAAACAAAATCCTAGAAATCCTAATCAACTCTAACTAGGAAACAGAATAATAAAGATCCTAATCAACTCCAAATAGGAAAGAAATAATAGAAATCCTAATTAACTCCTAATAGGAAACAAATATTAGAAATCCTAATTAACTCCTAATAGGAAACAAATCAGGAAAATTAAAAAGAATAAATATTAATTAAACAGCCCGTAACCAGCCCACGGAGGTAGGCTCAAGCCCGTCCCGCCTTTGGTAAACCCACGGGGCTTCTTCCCCTCTTCTTCCAAGCCCAGATTCTGCTTCATATCAAGTTATCTAAGAGGATGTAAGTTGGACTTTGATCATAGACCGGTGGAGAGAGATAGATTGTGGTTCTGGCCAAATTGTTGCTTCTAATCGAATCCGAGATTTCTTCATTGTGGCACCCTCTTCCCACCAGCTGAGCTACGCCCCCGGCACTTAGTGCCTTACAACACTAGCCTATGGGGGTCTCACTTTTTAAACTGTGGAAAAATGAAGATAAAGTGCATTACGGTATATATTCTGCAACCACATTTGAACAAGTTTGTTGCGTATCCAAGCTTTGAAGAACAGTAGCAATGTACTTTATCTTCATTTTTATGATAAGAACACGAAATTATTCTTAGAAGGGTTATGCACACAAGGCTTAATTGCGCTGTATTTAAATTTCACCTTTGCCAATTTGTTGAGTGTGGTCTATACACACACCCACACACACACACATAGAGTAGTCTTCATGTCAGGCCGGCCTGACGGGATGCTCCGTCCGGCCGAGGGCATTTCGGGCACTTCCCGGTGGAATTTTTTGATGAAATTTTTTGAGCATGTTCTTCATGAAGTCTAGTTTATGCATATAAATTTCAGCTAAAAATTCAATCGGGAAGGCATTCAAATAATTTCTTGAAGTTAACTGGGCAGTTCATACATATAAACTGCCCAGTTAACTTCAAGAAATTATTTGAGTTCTTTCCCGATTGAATTTTTAGCTGAAATTTGGTATGGATAAACTAGACTTCATGAAGAACATGCTCAAAAAAATTCATCAAAAAATTCCACCGGGAAGTGCCCGAAATGCCCTCGGTCGGAGGTTCCCGTCAGGCCGGCTGGACATGAAAAGTCCTCTCTCTCTCTCTATATATATATATATATATATATCTATGAATTAATGAAGTTAGATTGAGCAGCAACTTTTGATAAAGCTTGATTTCTTTTGTTTCCCTTTGTGCCTTCAATTGTTATTTTTATGAACGAATCAGTAATTTCATGCCTGAGCTCTTTTCTCTTTGATATTGAAACTGCAATGAGTTACTGTTACTTACAAAAACTCTAGGTACTTAAACTTTTTGGTTTTCAACCCTTGTCTGCTTTCTAGTTGCATCTCTCTTTTCTTCCAGTTCTAAGCACTTTCTTATATGATGTTAGGTTGTATGAGGATGGCTAAGGATATTCTCAACTGCTGGCAGTCAAAATCTGAACTCAAAGCTGAGATTCTCTGTGGAATCAAGGAAATCGGGAGTGTGCTGTACTGGATGGGGCTTCTTGATATTGTGTTGGTCAGTTTTCCAAGCTCCTTGGTCTTCTTTATAGTACTAGATGGTCCTTAGGGTGGGTGGAAGAAAGCATCTTCTTCAAATAATTATTTAAAGATATTCCATCTGCTGCTTCCTGTATTTTCCTTTCATAGTTTTCTAAACTTTAATAGCAATGTCCCATGCTGATGATTTCATGATTCTTCGTCAGAGCATTAATTTCCATCTTCATAAAAGCACCAAAATATCATTCTAGTATCTGAGATTGTTATATTCCATGAGCTGCTCAATAAGCTTTCTTATACATTTCAAAATGTATATGAGTTTCTTGGCCTTCTCTCTCTTTAGAGTGTCCCCAGGTTCATGAAAGTAATAAATTTGTTGAGAAATCTTGTAATATTGTCTTTGACAGAGGGAAGTAGATACCTGTCATTTCTTGCAAACAGCCCCTTGGTTAGGTTTAATTCCAGGCACAGATGGCCAAATAATTCAATCTCAAGAAGGGGCAGACAGCCCTATCGTCACTCTTTTTAAATCCGCAACTGCTGCAATTTTGTCCAGCCCCGGATGCTTACATTCCACATCATTCAAGACATTATCAAAGCAGGCGGAAGCAGCTGGTATGTATTACCTTCATAAAATCTACCAAACACTAGTAATTACTGTTCACAATGACGTCTGGTTGAATGAAATTTGAATGTTAAGTATGCATTATTAAACAAAGTTAGGACACGTATGGTAGATAAATAATGAGTAATTAAATCTTCAAACTTTGTTTTCATGGTAAGCATATTACACAATTCATTTTAAAGTATTGTGTTGCGTTTATTTTGAACTTTATATACTCTTTAATTGCTATCTCCTTTATTCACATCCGACTATTAACTTCATATGCACTTGTTATTGGTAATCAACCTGTTACATTTGATTGTCAGGTAAATATAAGCTCACTTTCCCTTGAATCTTCTGGTATCATATGCATGTATATATTGAGAGTCAGAATAAGACTTGTATGGCTTGATTATTTAAGGATTACAATGCCTGCTTCATGTAAACAAAAGGGCCCTACAATTATGTGCAAGACAGGCTGAACACAACAATACTGCAATGAAAACATTTCCTTCAATTTAGGAAAGAGAAAATAAATATAAGCAGAAACGCAATCCTAGAATTTCCCTTGATTTAGTTTTGCCCAACTTGCTTATGAAATACAGTACTCAACTACAGTTTTTTGTAGTCTCTGCCAGAATTTGCAGTATTTCTTGGATGGAGGTCACAAATGGAAAGTGAATAAATATAGCTCTTGAGATGTATCAAAACCCCAGTGTTGCTCTAATTAGTGTTTCCATAATTAGTATGAGCTTAACCCACCTCATGCTCCTTTCTTTCCTGCAGCCATCTTCTCCCGTGCCTCGTAGGGGTGGATTTCTTTTCTGAGACCACACTGAGCATGAGAGGACGTCTCTACTCTTTTGCTGAATTCCGACCACCGGAGCTGCCACCACGTTTTGATTGCTTTTGCGCTTAACTCTTTTTTTTCCAGCCACCATCAACCCATCGTTCTCTCCCCCTTCGATTCATCCAGTCCATTGCTGGTCATCCTCAATTCCTCATGGCAGCTATTGAACATATTGCTTCCCTTATGGCCGATTCTAGAATCTAGACTTTCACTACTCTGTCTATGCTTACATGCCTACAGTTGGTACTCATCGACTATGGATATTGGATTCGGGTTCCTCTGACCACATTCCCATATCTTTTTTCATATACGCCTTCTTCCAGGTCTTTACCTATAGACACTTGAAAATGGGTCTACCTCTGATGGTGCTGGGGTTGGTCAAGCTAGTCGCTTGCCCACATTACATCTTTACCTTAAAGGCCTTAGAGAATGCCTTTTATGTCCCTATTGCACTTTAAATCTTATTTGTATGAGTGAACTACTCAAAAATCTTAATTGTGGGTCAAAAACAGCTACTGATCCTCACGGCTGAGAAGGGTGCTGCAAAGAAGTGAGAAAAATTTTGGAGGAAAAATGTGTGTATGGTGGCACTTGGACCCCAAACGCTCAGAAGGCAGCTGACTCACTTTCCTCTTAACGGTGCGTGTGTTTCCAGATGGAAATAGGTTGTAAGAAAGACCTGGCGGCGCTTATGGAGTCGTCCAGTCATCTCACTATGTTGATTGAAGATGATTATTGGAGCAAGTTCGTGAACAGAGATGAATCAAGAACTAAAGTTAACACACAAGAGCAGGTTCATGACATGAATGAGCCCATCTCACACAAGAGCATGTTCATGTCTAGATTGGTACCAACATGAGATAGATGAAAATAGCTTAAGATAGCTTAAAAAGAACTGCTCAGATCTTTCCATTTATAGAAAAATAAGATGCTAAGAATAAAAAAGGAGCCCTTGGTAAAAAAAGCAATCCCTTGATTATAGGGATGGGTGTCGGGGCCGTGTGAGAGAGAAATGGTCATTGACCACTAGGCCAGTCAGCTAATATAAACAAATAAATCAACATACATAAACTCCTAGACATACATGTGATAGGTGATTATGTTTGTAGTTTTAGTTAATTGATTGAGATCTGTCATCATATTATTGAAAAACAAAAAAACCTTAAATAAAAAGGGTGCTATCTGAAAAAGGATGTTCCTGTAATTCCGTGAAGGCTTGAAAAACATATGAGATACATCTTAGCATGCAAGAAGATATTTCATATGGAAAAGGCCTCAGGCACTTGTACAGTAATAGAATTTTAACATATTCGTATCATGCATGTGATTGAACATATTACATATATGGAGTAAAACATCCAAAAACTCAAATATACACATCATTGAGAAGGATAATTGTACTTTTTCATCAGGAGCACATTTCAGATTTCTATATGCTGTTCCTTCTCTGTCCAATTTGTGAAGGCCTTATTTCATATCCATCTAGATAAAAGCAACCTTACAGCCTATGGTGTAATGCGTGTTTACGCTTATGGCACTCTATGATAGGAACAATCCAGGTATGCAGCAAGAATCACAGAAAATATCAAGAACAACTGAGAATTTTATTGATGAATAAGATGACAGTATCGGTAACCTAGGCCGAAGCCTCCCAATGAGCCGAAGCCCCCCAAAGAACGAGAATAGCTCTCGATCTCCCAAAGTCCCAAATGACAAATGTCTAAAAACAGCCTGCCTAACTCTCCCCAGCTATCTTCTATTTATACTAGACAATACACTTCTTATTATTAATACTCCAATAGGCCCGGTCCCTTATTTTTATTATTATTAGTCTATTAGGCCCAGGTTCCTATCAATACTTCCCCCCTAAACATCCACCTTGCCCTCAAGGTGGGTGATAGGACACATCCACAATCTTCTTCTTTTCTTTCATCCTAGCACCTCTCCCTTTCCAATACTGGATGGATTTCTGGATCTTTAACTGGGCTGCTTCCACCTTCTTCCCTATGTTTTTCATAGCAGAATAACACAAATGCCAGGACATTCTATCCATAATTGACTTGAAAACTTCAGGGTACTCCTTTATAAACTCATTCCTTCTGCCTTCAGTTAACTGTTCTTGCTTCAGCTCATTAGTGTGTCCCTCCCAGTGCCACAGATGTCCATCACCTTGAATAATATGATTCAGCCCTTGTTTCTTCCATTTTATGATCAGGTTTTGGAAATTAACTTCCATATCACCTAAATCAGTCAACCATTCCATGCCCAGGACTACATCAGTGCCTCCCAATTCCATTAAGTAATAAGTCTGCTGAATCTCAACCCCTTGCACATTCAGGCTCACTCCTGCACACTTACCATAGTTGGTTATGCATTCTCCATTTCCAGTTTGTACTTTGTATTCCTGAATTGGAGTGTAAGGGATCTTCCATCTTTCCACCAAGTCTTGTGAGATAAAATTGTGGGATGAACCACTATCCATAAGTACATTCACTGTTAGTTCTCTATCAGGCCACCTCATTACTCCTTTTACCTTAAATGTCTTCATAGATGGTTGGCCCTCCTCACCTAATACTGAAAGCTGCATGGTCTTCAATTCTAGAGGTATGGTCTTATCTTTTCCTGACTCCAGTGATTCAACTTCAAAACCAGCTTCATCCTCAGAATTCTCCACTAGGATCATTTTATAGTTCCTCATCTTGCAAACATGTCCCCTACCCCAATTTTCTCCGCATTTAAAACATAGTCCTTTCTTACTTCTTTCAAGCAGTTCTTCTTGTGATAATCGGGGGTTTGTAATCTGCTGAACTGAGTTTGAAGATTCCTGCTTCTTCATATCATCAAATGAATAGTTGCCAGATGAATTCTTGGTTGTGTAGCTAGAACTCCCTCTACAACCATCACCCCATTTCTGATTTCCATTCTGCCCCTTCTTTCTTTCCTCCTCTTTATTCTTGACATACAAGGTTTCAAAATTCTTGTCCTCAATCCTTGTTGCTGTGTTCATTACTGCTGCTAATGTTCTGGCAGAATGCAGCTTCAGCTCAGCCCTAACATCACGCTTCAAACCATTTAGAAATGCTCCTCTCAAAACTTCCTCAGTTAGATGCTTTTGTGATGCCATGGCCACTTCAAACTTATTTCTGTAATCCGCCACGGTTCCCTTCTGCTTCAAGCTAAACAACGGCCCCAGAGGATTCTGCACCATTTCAGGCTGAAATCGCTGAGTTAAATCTCTGGTAAACTGCTCCCAGGTTTGGTGTCGTGCTTGGCCTTCCCACCATTGGAACCAGCTCAGAGCTTGATCCTCCATAGCGACTACAGCAACATCAATTTTCTGTTCCTCTTCAGTTTGATTCAAGCGGAAGTATCGGTTCATTCTAACCAACCAACCGAAGGTGTCTTCCCCCTTGAAAAGAGGTAAATCAATCTTTCTGCCTATCGGTTTATGATATCGATGATACCTGTGGTGATCCCGGTGTTGATGTCGACGTGAAGGAGCATAGTCGGAATTGTTTTCCGATCCCTCTGGACTCGCTGACTGTCGCGAACGATGATGGTGAGTTGAACGATGATGGTGAAGTGAACGATGATGGTGGCGACGCGGTGGTGAATAGTTGTCATTCCCTTCTGATTCCTCAGAACTCGCTGAATGTCGCGATTGGTGATGGTAATGCGAAGGGTGATGGTGAGGTGAATGGTGATGATGCGAAGTACGATGCGAGGTAGATGATCGATGCGATGCAGATGATCGGTGAGAGAGGCTTCGCGATCGACTAGCGAGGTTCTTCTGAAATTCCGCCAAGTTCACTTGCATCGTCGCTTGCATCGATGTCTGAATCGAGGCCATTTTCTCGGCCAGGTTGTCCGCCAGGTTACTCTGCAATTCACGCATCCTCCGATCCAGTTGCTCTTGCAGTTCTCTTTGATTTCTTCCAATATCCACCATGCTTCGCTCCACCTCATTCATTCTGGCTTCCATTTTGGCGCGCGTATATCTCATCCAGCGAGCGATCAAACACTTCTCTGATACCAATTGATAGGAACAATCCAGGTATGCAGCAAGAATCACAGAAAATATCAAGAACAACTGAGAATTTTATTGATGAATAAGATGACAGTATCGGTAACCTAGGCCGAAGCCTCCCAATGAGCCGAAGCCCCCCAAAGAACGAGAATAGCTCTCGATCTCCCAAAGTCCCAAATGACAAATGTCTAAAAACAGCCTGCCTAACTCTCCCCAGCTATCTTCTATTTATACTAGACAATACACTTCTTATTATTAATACTCCAATAGGCCCGGTCCCTTATTTTTATTATTATTAGTCTATTAGGCCCAGGTTCCTATCACTCTAGTACCCGAGGATAATGTTTGTATACTACCAATGTTTTGCTATTTATGTATCTTTATGGCTAATTTGTGTTCAGATAGCTCCTACAGATTTAATATTATGTTCAATTTGTTGGTTTGCTAAAAAGTTTAAGCTGCCCTTCTATTTAATCTATGTATATGCCACAGCAGATCTCTTGTACATGGCCAATATTAACACTGGGAGTGTACTGGAATATGCCCTTGCTTTCACCAGTGCAGCTTTAGATAAATACTGTGGTAAATGGAGTGCAACCCCAAAGACAGGGTTTATAGATATCACAACTTCGAAAGACTTCTACCGAATATTTAGCGGTTTACAAATTGTAAGAGATGTTTTCTCTTATACTTGTTACTCTTCAGAAATTCTTCATTTTAAATCCAAACTATACTTGTAAGAGATGCTTAATCCAACATATGTTTTCTCACGAGCTACATATGTTGCGTTAACACTTCATACCAAATCAAATTGTGTATGACATAAGTCAATCAAAGTTGGTGCAACCACAGTCATCTGGTGGTAAGGCCAACTGAAGGTCAAAGCATGTCTTGCCACAATAGTTTTCTGGAAGAGTTTTTTTTCTTCCATTGTTGGTTCCCTAACTATTATGTTAGTGACACTTTTGGTGCTCAACTTTGAATTTTTCCACCTTTTGTGCAAAAGACACTTTTGATACCCGTCTTTGACATTATCCATATTTAGTCCTCCAACTTCCACAAAAGTGACGCTTTTGGTCATTCAACTATTATTATAGTGTTCCTCCACTTATTGTGCCAAAATCATAGTGGAGGGACTATAAAAGTGTCGATTTGACAATATTCAGGGGACTAAATGGGGGGAGTTTTGAAGCCGAGGACTAGAAGTGTCTTTCATACAATAGTGGACTAAAATGGAAAAATTAAAAGGCAAGTACCAAAATTGTCACTAACACAATAGTCGGGGACTATAAGTGTCAAAAAACTCTTTCTGGAACATAAAAGTTCATCTAAAACTAAAAGCTGATAAGTGGCTTCAAATGCCGCTATGAACCATTCCTTCTTAGTGCCTGTACTGGGGTTAGTGATGTGCATGTCTGACAGAGTTCATAAATTCAGGAGTACTTGGAGGAATCTGTTTTATTGCAATCAAGCAGCCACGAAATGTTGGGTGATTCTGTTTCTTGGGGTGGATGCACAATAATCTACTTGCTTGGTCAGCAACTGCACTTTGAACTTTTTGATTTTTCACATCAAGTCCTCAATGTTGCAGAGGTAGAAGCAGCGGCAGTTGCATCACCACAAAAGAGTCTTCCATTTGTTCAGGTATAAATTTTCCTTCTGGACGACTTTGTGCTTTATTAGTATTACTGTCCAAAGCCATACATCTATTCATTATGAAAGGGGTTGGATAGCTTATTGGAGGCTATGAAGAGAGCAAGGAGGTTAAATAATCATGTATTCTCAATGTTGAAAGCCCGATGCCCACTTGAGGACAAGCAAGCCTGTGCTATCAAACAAAGCGGTGCACCACTGCATCGTGTCAAGTTTCAGAACACGGTCTCTGCTTTTGAAACACTCCCTCAAAAGGGTGCTTAAGATGAATGTCTGGCTGGCTGCCAGTAATCCATGTTTCCCGTCTATGCACTTGTTCATCAATAGATGGTGGTGGCCGTAGGGTTGGTACTTTTTGGTTTGTGGAACTCCTCCAGTTTGTATTTTGTAATACACGTAGAAACAGCTTTTGAGGAACCATCATGTATCAGTAGTTGTGTTCTAACTAATTGAGCTGTTCACTAATCTTTTCTCTTCAAAGGTTCAGATGGGGGGATCATATATAGCATGTGAAAGCACTAAATTCTTAGTTGTCATGAGCGCACCTAGTCGCGGGATCAGTGGCGGAACCATAAAAACAGTCTGGGGGGGTCGAAAATCAACTATATAAAAAATAAAATGGTGGATCTTTTTAACAATGTCCGAGTTGAATGTTTCTTATGTAGTTTAGATAAATAGGCACGTGTAGCAATAAGATAGACTATCTTTGCCCTGTTTCTGAGTCATGTCACGTAAATAATGAATTGATTATACATTTTAAAAATTTGGGAATATAATCCATATTACGCATCAAATTATGTTGATTTTATGTTCAGATAGTACTGATATTTCAGAGGTCATAACTTTTTATTCGTAATGAGTTACGAGTTACGACATCCATAATATATCAAATCGAAGATATTTCAGAGTTTTATACTCTCAAACTATCAGTGGGGTCGGTTGAACTAGTGGTGGACCGGTTCCGGGCCGGGACCGGTTCGGGCCTTGAACCGGCCGGGCCTCGGTTCAAGGTAGGGGAGGCCCGGAACCGGCCCGGGTAACCCCGGGTCCGGTTCGGGCTGGGCTGGGTCCGGTTCCGGTTCTATATTTTTTTTTTTTTTGGGTTTTCCTAATCAACCCCCTACCCTCCCCCTCAACCCCAAACCACCTCAAATGGCCCAAAATAATCAATCCAACCCAAAAACTTAAAAAAACTTCAAAAAAAAAAAAAAACAAGTCCGGCCTGGACCGGGCCCGAACCGGCCGGGCCGGTTCACCAAAATGAAGGCCCGGGCCCGGAACCGGTACCCACCGGGCCGGTTGACCCGAACCGCCCATGGGCCGGGCCGCCGGGCCGGGCCGGTTCTGGGTCGGGCCGCCCGGCCCGAGTCCATCCCTAGGTTGAACACCCTGACCCCTTGGCTCCGCCTTTGTGTGGGATGATGTATCGAGAGTATATGTGAATTACATATAGACCTGGTCCGGTCCTAGGCCTTCCAGGGGCGTCTACATGAACTAGGAGCTCAAGGCGGCAGGGGTGATAGTTTGGTTGAGATGATTTTTTTTACATTAAGCACTTACCTCATTAACCATACATTGATAAATTTTCATAAAATTTCTTTACAACAAAGGTATTAACATTTTGAAATAGGGCTGGATTCGAGCCGGGTCGGGTCCGGGACCGGCCCGGGTAGCCAACCCCCCAAACCACCTCAAATGGTCCAAAATACCCAGCTCAACCCGAAGAGTTAAAAAAATTGAATTTGTTTTTTAAAGCCTGAAACCGGGTCCGAACCGGTCGGGCCGGTTTGGCTTTTGGGTGACCCGAGCCCGTACCGGGAACCCCCCGGGCCTTGCCTACCCGGACCGGTCACTGGCCGGGCCACCGGGCCGGGCCGGTTCAGCACAGTACTGGTCTCGGGCCGGTTCCGGGTCGGGCCACCCGACTCGAGTCCAGGACTAAAATATTTAACATTTAGTGGTCATTGCTTATATTGAACATTTTAAATCTAAAATATCAAAGAATGGGAAAGGGCGCTTAGAACAGTTTTTTATTTTTCTAGTACAGTGATTTTTATCAATAATCTAATCTTTACTTATTCAAAATCATTTTATTTTTCATATAAAGTCGCATTTATTATTATTAATCACATTTCATATAATCTCTAAATAAATAACTTCGAAAATGTAGAGTTAATTAATGCAAACACTCCTTAAGAACATCACGACAATTTAGACTAGTTAACAATTTTCCTCCAATTAAATACATATTTAACCCACTTAATATATTTTTTGGCATAATCAATAGAAGCTAATTTTTTATTATCTTCAATTTTAACTTTTTAAGAGAGATGGTACGGTGAATTTCTATGCAAATTATGTTTGCCGTGAATCCGTGATGAATGTTTTGGCCTACCATTACAAAATCAGTAGATTGACGTTATTAAGAGAAATGGTTGGATATAGGATTAACACTCTTGGTAAATACTTAGATAGGACCCGAAGTTTTTTAACTCTCAAATAGGACTAAATATTTCCTTTGTTCTAAAATTGCCCCTCTGTTCTAATTTATTAGGCACACTCTTAATATCTCCCTCCTCTTGTTCTGGCGTGGACTAGGCATCATCGACGGCGACCACAGCTATTTAAGCTGCAGCAGGAACGCCGCCTGCCGCCCAACCATCTCACCTACGGATTTCTCACTTCTTCTTCCGTAAGGTGAAATAGAGGCTGGACATCACATTCACCTCACAGAGTAACTCTGACGAACATCCCAAAATGCATAATTTTATGTTCGTTCCAGATTTAGTGTTCTTTCATTTAGATGATTGACATGCTTCTATTTGAATGTAATCGGTCCCCTTCTCTTTTGCATTAGCTCTTCCTTCTTCGGCCAATTTGAACATATAATAGTCAAAATTCAATTCCTAATGAAATTAGTTAAAGATGCTTCTTGGGAGTATTAAGTTTTTTAATTATTTTTAATTAGTTTATTCAACCAAAACGATTTTACCAATCTTATGGTTTATATCTCTGAAGTCAAAAACAAATTCTGGCATCTATGCACAGGTAATCTACCCATATATAACCGATCATCTCCAAGAAAGGAACATGGAGGTTAGTAATCAGTGTATTTTCGATTGTGGAGGATCAGAGTCTACTGATCATCTTTTTATATCTTGTGCAAAGATGATGTGCTTGTATTTTACACACTTTTTAGGCTTAGTTTGTTAATAATTTTGGTCACTTAATTTGTATATTTGTACATATTTTTATTATTTATCATTACTTTGTATGATGTGTAGTTCTATGCATGTATTTTGTATTTTCAGGTACTTTTGATACTATTTGATACATTTGTGTGTGAAGAAAAGAAGAAAATAAAAGTTCAAGTTGGAAGCCAATAAAAGTGGAATTTCTTTCAAAGCAAATAAGGAGTAAATTGAAGTTAAGAACCAAAAATATGAAAACAAAGAGATGGGATTCGATCCCTGAACCACGGGTAGAGAAAAGCCATTCAGAACTAGTGAACTAACTTGCCAATGTTGTACACAATCAGCCGGCAGTTTATATATTGCTTGTGACCACATCAAAGAAAAAAATGGAACAAAAGTCGGAAGCCAGAATCAAACCCGCGACCTCTGCTACATGCTTAAACACTTCGTCCGCTGCACTGCTACGCATTATTGATACTTGGACGCGTTTTTTTGTAGATATACTCTCCGGTTCCGTAAATTCCAGCAATTAATGATTAATCACCTTATCATTATATTGCCTTAATCCATCTCCTTCCACACATAATCTCGAGCCAACTTCTCTCTAAACCTCCCAGAATCATTTCCTCCTCCTCCTCTCTTCATTCTTCATCTCCAAATCATCAACCAATCTTCAACATCAATTAATCACTTTCTCAATCAAGATTAAAGTCAAGATTAGCACCAAGCTCCAAGGATTGTCATCTATCACAAGTTTGATCTTCCTTATCTCTTTAAATCTTGTACTTCAATCATGAATTCATCTATTTCTAAGCTTCCCAACATGTATAGCTAAATAAATTTGGGGCTAGAAATTGGTTAATTAATTGTTCTTATCATGTTTTAATTTGTATTGATTTTAATTGTTAAGTTTGTTCTATTTAGATTGTTGTGTCCAGAAAATTAATTATGTTATGTTTGTGATATATATTATGAGTACTCAATCATAAACATATTGTTTGTTAAATACACAAATGAACACTTTCTGAACACACCGTTAAACTTCTTTTACCTTGTCCCGGATTGAAGTTTTACGGGAGAATTTAATTATTTAATTATATTATTTACACCACGGGGTTGGGTAAATAATATAGTTAATAATTAAGGTTGTCGTTGCACTTAAACAACTAGTCTCGTTTTGGCCATCACTGGGAAATGTTGACTAGTTACTTATTTTAGATGACTTGTGTTGGGTCCTAAAATATTTATCCACAACTTCTCACAATCTATCTACGAATAAAATTAGCAATTATTTCTTTCAATTAAACATTGAACAATTAGTTACCAATTTCTACCCCTACTTGCTATTGGTTGAACTTTGTGTTGATAAAAATCTCTCATCTCAATCACTTTTATTTTATTACTTTTCCAAGCAACCAAAAAAAATCAAAAGAAACGCACTTCCAACTTTAATCCTTAGTTTGTGCTTAATTATTTTATTTCCCGCTTCTCTGTGGTTCGACACCCTACTTCCTTGGGTAAAAAATAGTTGTGTGCCCATTATATGCTACACACCAACTTGGCGCCGTTGCCGGGGAAGCGGTTTTGAAAAAAAAAAAAATTTGAAAGCATGAACTTTTGGTTTTATTTATTGTAAATTGTGTGTATATTATTTTGTTGTTATCTTGTTTAATTTGCTTTTGCAGGTTCAAAAAAAAAAATACAAAAAAAATACGAGTGATTAATTAAAGTTCAAAAAAAAAAAAAAAAAAAAAATTGAACTGTGATTAATTACCTTACCTGAGCATTAGAGTTGGACTTGTTGACTGAACATATATCTGGACATTTGGACCATTGGACATATTGTCACATTTTAATTCAAAGGATACTCCGCCTATATGGTCGGACCGCTAATTTGTACATATTAATTCAACGGATAATCCGCCTATATGGTCGGACCGTTTACTTGTACATAATAATTTAAAGGATACTCCGCCTATATGGTCGGACCAACTCTTTAATTTCTGCACTTTAATTATCGCACTTTAATTTCTGCACTTTAATTATCGCACTTTTATTTCAGCAATTTAATTTCTGCATTTTTTTTGCATCCCCAAGCTTGTCGGCCGTGTCCGCTTGTTGGTGGCGTGCACTTTTTATTTTATTTCTTAATAATCCCCAGACTGTCGGCACAGCTGCATCTTGGTGGAGACTGTATTTATTACTGTAGTTTTTTTTTTTTCTTCTCAAATCACCATATCTGTCGGCCCTGCCGCATCCTGGTGAATTACTGTACATATTAATACTGCTTTAAGGGCTCACTAGTCTTATTCGGTTTATGCCAATTGACTACGTGCGAACCTTAATTAATTAATTAATTAATTCCACATTTTTTTTTCTTTTCATCTCTCTCCTTTCCCAATCCCGATTCCCTTCTGCTTATGCTTACACGTTCACGTGGTGCAAATTGTGAATTGTTATTCTTCTCTGACATTGAAAAGCACATACGTGAACAGAAAAAGATAAAAAAAATGTCAAACGATATTGTTGTAAATGAGCAGGAACCAAATCAACAAATCGTGGATCAGGTTACAAGGACCAGGAAACCATTATAT